CCCTCTCTCTCCCACCGTCATCGCTGGCCGTCCTTCTCGGTGACTGTTATGTTATTACTTTCTTGGTGTTGCAGATCTGTGTGCTGAGCTGTCGGCTATCTGCAGTGCATCCTGCATTCACCAGAATCAAATTCCATCACTGACATTTTGTTGTTATTTATTTTTCCTACTTTGTAGTGAATTAGACGGTCTACTGTGAGGGTTCTGTGTCTGTTACCATACCAAACCTACTGTACCTTTCTCTTTTGTCTGCGCTGTCGGATCCCCCTACGATCCCCCTCTCTCCTTTTACCCGTTACCACCACCACCACCGACAAGTCAGACAGAACCCGACACAGAGACAAGACAGGTCAGGTCAGTCAACCTCAGTCACCGCCTAATGCTCTCCACGTGCTAACTACTGGTTGACGGTAGCCCGCGGCAGCTTCTTTCGCGCCCTCCCTTGCGTCTCTCTGTCCAAGTATTCTGGATCCCTCTCACATATCCGATTCCTCCGTCGCTGCTCCATCAGAATTCACTTCCCCCCCCCCTCCTTCTTCTCCCCGTTGGGGCTATCGATCTGACCGTGCAGCATTGCACCCACCCCTCCCCTCCCCGCCAGCAGTCCCCATTCGACACCTATCGTCGACCAAAGGTGACCGGTAGTGAAGAAGCACAGTGCGCACCGCCTCACTCAGTGGCTTCTCCTCTCCCTCCAATCAAACCTCGGTCTTGGTCGCTCAACCCTGCTGCCACCAGTCGCTCGAACTGTCACCCCCCCTCCCCCCTAAACCGCACGTCATGAATCACGATAGTTTCTCTTCCCTAAAATTTCGACGGTCGTCAAGCAAGCTTCACAAAGACCCTCCGAGCTTCACGTCCCGCATTTTGAAGAGTCAGCAGAGCAACACCTCCCTCAAACGTCACCCCTCAGCCCCCGTCTACCCTCGTTCCGCTGCCGCTGCTGGAGGTCGAGAGCACACTCGGACGAGATCGAACGCATACGGATCATCCTCATCCTCCCTCGAGCAGAACAGCGGCAATCCGTCTCCAGCACACTCCGGCAACGAGTCGGGCTATTTTCCGACCAGCAATAATTCCTTCAAGTCCCGCCCTCCCCCCGCCGGCCGATTTTCCCTCAGTGAGCAGAGCTCAGATGAACTGATTGGCACCCCGTTTGATAGTCGGGGCATGCTCAGCTCTTTGAAAGAGAATTCGACTGAGTCTGATCCCGTGCCCGAAAAGCCCCCGACTTTGCGGTCGGCCACAAGCCCTGAAACCCGAGGATTGAGACAGTCGGCTAGCCTGGCTACCTTGCAGAGCCGAATGGAGACGTTTGTGCACAGGGCGACCGACAATGACCGCTCGGTAAATCCGAAGCGTCTCTCGGACGAGGGTAACACAACGACTAGGCCATTCGCAGGCAGAAGCAAGAAGAGCAGTTTTTCGAGCTTTGTCAACAGTATGCTCGGTTCTCCCCGAGGCATCAAGATCTCCGCTCCGGAGAACCCCGTCCACGTCACTCATGTCGGCTACGATAACCAGACCGGCCAGTTCACCGGTCTCCCGAAAGAATGGCAACGATTATTACAGGAAAGCGGTATCTCTAAGAAGGAGCAGGAAGAGCACCCCCAGACCATGGTTGACATCATGAGATTCTACGAGAAGAATGCCCGGGGTGATGATGAGGTTTGGCACAAGTTTGACCATGCATACCCGCAACCCCAGTCAGCGGCCAGTCCAGCCTCCGGCACGGGCTCCTATGGTCCTGGCGCGCAGCGAGTCTCGCCCCCAACAAGCCCTCGATTCCCTCAAAACCACGAAGGCAGTTTTGAGAACCCCCGAGCGCCGCCTCCAATTCCTCGCGGGGCTCCTGCAGCAGGCCAAGCTATGTCACCACCGGTGGGTGGATTCGTTCCCAACCGGGCCCCGCCAAAGCCCCCAGGCGCAGGCACCGTCACCCCAGCTCGCATCGCTCCTCAACCTCCCTCCGCAGCTACCTACGCCGCAGCACCGGTCCGAGCAGCTCAGGATGCTTATGCTCAGGCCTATGCCACACCCCCAATCCCGGAGGCAGAGCCTCTACCCAAGGAACAACACCCGCTCAGCAGATCCAACTCCAAGGCAAGTGGCACGCCCGTGCCCTGGACGGCACCATCTCCGGCTCAGTATCAGCAGCAACAGGAGCAAGCGATGGCTGCAGCCCAGCAGGCGATTGTCAGCAAACAACTTGAGCGGAGCCGCAGTCAGCGTCAGCAGCAGGCCGCTCAGAAGCAAGCGTCACAGCAAGCACCTCCTCAACACATCAGTCCCGTGGAAGAGACATCTGCTTCGATTCAGCAGGCACGCGCTGCTCCGGCTGCGGCTGCGGCTGCAGCTGCCGCCGGCGCCGCCCCCGCTGCTCGTCCGCGGCAGCGGGCCCGCCAGAGTAACATCATGGACGTTAGACAACGACTCCTCGCGATTTGCACGCCTGGCGACCCGACTAAGCTTTACCGCCACCTTAACAAGATTGGCCAGGGAGCATCGGGCGGCGTTTTCACGGCGTATGAAAATAACTCCAATAGCTGTGTCGCTATCAAGCAGATGAATCTGGACTTGCAGCCCAAGAAAGATCTTATCATCAACGAGATCTTGGTCATGAAGGACAGCAAGCACAAGAACATCGTCAACTTCCTGGACAGCTATCTTCACGGTCTGGATCTATGGGTGGTGATGGAATATATGGAAGGTGGCAGTTTGACCGATGTGGTCACATTCAACATCATGAGTGAAGGGCAGATTGCTGCCGTTTGTAGAGAGGTAAGCTACATCGTTTATTGTTAGTCTCTTGTTTCAAAAGGCTGACATCTGTAAGACTCTGAGTGGTCTGCAGCATCTTCACTCGAAGGGTGTCATTCACCGTGATATCAAGTCGGACAACATCCTTCTATCTCTGGATGGCAACATTAAATTGAGTAAGTTGTCTTCTCCATGCTGGGTGTGGCCCGGACGATCGGTCTAACATTACTTCTAGCCGATTTCGGTTTCTGTGCCCAGATCAACGATTCGCATAACAAGCGAAACACTATGGTGGGTACACCATACTGGATGGCACCCGAAGTCGTTACCCGAAAGGAGTATGGCCGCAAGGTCGATATCTGGAGTCTCGGAATCATGGCAATTGAGATGATTGAGGGCGAGCCCCCTTATCTGACCGAGTCGCCGCTGCGGGCGCTGTACTTGATCGCAACCAACGGAACGCCCACGATCAAGGACGAACACAACCTGTCTCCTGTTTTCCGGGACTTCCTGCACCTCGCACTCAAGGTGGACCCCGAGAAGAGAGCCTCTGCCCATGACCTGCTCAAGGTATGTCGACTCTTTTTTGCTTTGGCTATTTGAGCCCTTGCTAACCGAGTGACAGCATCCGTTCATGTCTCTCTGTGCCCCTCTTTCACATCTATCGCCGCTTGTGAAGGCCGCGCGGGCCAACAGAGCGCAAGAAAAGGCCCAAAAGGGGGGTGCCTAGGTACCGTGACTTTCCACTGTTACTATATACGTCGATATCTTCTGTCTTCTCTCTCTCAGATACCCATGACTCCCGATGTTTTCATATTTGCTGGACATCTTATGCTGGCATCGCATAATGACCAACGTCTTGTTCACCCTTCTCTGTTTCTTCCTGCGGATCTCCCTTGATTTTCTAGACGGCGATGGATTCTTCATGTGATGACCTTCCTTTCATCTTACCTTTTGTTGCGGTGCTTGTGGGTGCTGGAGGTCAGGAGCCTTCGCCAATCGAACACATGCACACCGTATCTCGACGGCGGCATGGCTGGTCTTCCCAGGTCAGTCTGTGGAAAGGTGGAAAAATGTTTGTAAATTTCTCTACTTCCGGCATTTGTCCTTGTGCGAAATCATACTAGTGCAATTACCGGGTTGCTTCTTCAACTACGGTTCGAGTCGATCTCTGTCGTTGTGCCACATTACGAGTGACAAGTTTGCGCGTGCATGTACTTGAAGCGCCTTCCCGTTTCCATATCCATACCTTATCGATGCGGTGTTGCCCTTGGGGGCTTTCGCTCCGAGCGGAGATGATTTATGAGGCATTTTCTGGCATTTTCCCTTCATGACAAAAGAACAAAAGCATGAACTTGATTCGATTTGTTTGATCTGCTTTGTGATTCGGTTCAGATAGCGACAGTCCCGTCCCTACTGCTGCTTCGGCTGGCTTCCCAGCCATAGTACCCTCGGAGACCCGAGATATCTTTCTACGGCATTTTTTGCCGTTCTATTTGGGGAGGGGAGAAGCATAATGAGTTGTGTTCATAGAATTCAGTGCCATTTGTGGACTGAGAGTGTTTGTTCAGTCTGGATCTTCTTTGTAGTACTTGGTACTTGGTACTGTATGTAGTTAGAGCCTGTGCAGCCAGCATAGCTGATATCGTCATCGGGAGCTCAGGGCAGTCCCAGAACTGCGCTAGACCCGATTAGGCGACCACCCTCCGCCTCGGGCTGCCGCGATCCATCGTCACCTGCTGAGCATTCATCAGGTTGCAGCCTTCGTGCTTCTTTCTCACTTTGCTACCCCCCGTTCTTGTCTTGCCCGCCTCAACCGTGGTGTGTTTGTGTTTATAATTACTTACAGTGCTCATACTTGCAGTGCTGATACATCTACTACACCTCCTGACTCCAACCACTGCTACCCCTTTCTCCTCACCCCCTACTTCATACCTAGTGCCTATTTACAACACTTCCGCAACTGCATCATCGAGGCTGTACTGTACCTCCCCGCAATTGGGTAGTCGGACTCCAGCAACGAAGCAAAGCCACTCACTCAATCACTCCACCAAAATTACGAGTCATTTCCTTGACACTACGTCCACCACCACGCCTCTATTCAATTCATCTCGTTTCCCAGTGGCGCAAGTGCTGCCCTCATACCCTCCTCCACTCGCTACTCGAACGGCGCATCCCCGCCACCTTTCCCACCTCTCTCCGATCGCCTCACCCCGGTGCTCCGAGGCACAACACTAACAATGTTCCGCGCGCAGCAGAACGCATTCGACGATGCAGTCGGTCAGTGATATCCTTTCCGATTCACTCCAGCTTTGTGCCTTTCATTACATCACATGCCTTATGTGATAATCTGATCGATTGTCGCTGACGTATACAACTTCCCGCAATAGCCAAGGCGACCGACGAGAATTTGACCGCCGAGAACTGGGAGTATATTCTGGTACGCTTTTCTCCGGCAACGTGCTAGGTCACTTTTACTTCCAGGGAGGGTTTCTGACAGATCTGGCGCATAGGATGTTTGTGACAAGGTTGCTGCGGAGGAGTCCGGGTATGGCTTCCGCTTTTTTTTTGTCTCTGTTGTGCTCGATGTGAGGGATTGAGGCTGACGTGTGGGGTTGGGTGACTGTTTAGTGCGAAGGATGCCGTGGCTGCCTTGATCAAGAGGCTTGCGCATAGGAATGCCAATGTGCAACTGTATACTTTGGAGGTTCGCGACTCTGATTTGCTGAGCGGGGGGAGGATCTTGGTCGATTGGGGTATACAGTGCTGACGCTTGTGTTGCTTGAACCTTAGTTGGCGAATGCTTTGGCGCAGAACTGTGGGCCGAAGATTCACCGTGAACTGGCGTCGAGAAGCTTCACGGATGCCCTTTTGCGTTTGGCTGGCGATCGGGTGAGTGCATTGCTGGTTGTTGTGTATCGCTGGGCAAAATTACTGATGAGTTTGGCGCGCCCGGCAGAACACACATCAACAGGTCAAAGCCAAGATCCTGGAGCGCATGCACGAATGGACGGAGATGTTTGCTAGTAACCCCGATTTCGGGATCATGGAGCAGGCGTACATGAAGCTGAAGACTCAGAGTAAGTGAGGAGGGAAAACGAGCTATTCGTGGTGACTTGGAGGCTTATATTGGCTCTGGCTCTAGATCCAAACTTGCAACCTCCTTCGAAACCAGGCAAGCGAGAAATCACCGAGCAAGATCGCCAGAAGGAAGAAGAGGAGTTACAGATGGCTCTTGCGCTCTCGATCAGGGAGAAGCCCTCCGCGGCTCCTCAGGCCCAGCCGCAAGCCGGCAGCTCCAGTGCCGCAGCACCCGTCAGTGAGTCTCCGGTGGCCGCACCAGCCCAGCCTGTTCCCTCCGGAACCTCCGCGGCCACCGTGTCGCGGGTGCGGGCACTGTTTGATTTCCAGCCCTCCGAGCCCGGTGAATTGCAGTTCCGCAAGGGAGATGTAATTGCTGTTCTGGAATCGGTTTACAAAGATTGGTGGAAGGGCTCTCTGAGGGGCCAGACGGGTATCTTCCCTCTCAACTATGTCGAGAAGTTGCCCGACCCTACGGTTGAGGAGCTGCAGCGGGAAGCTCAGATGGAGGGAGAGGTCTTCGGGCAGATCAAGAACGTCGAGAAGCTTCTCACACTTCTGAGCACTCGCAGTTCCGAGCTCAATGTGCAGGACAATGAGGAAATCACGACTCTGTATCACTCGACCTTGGCCATCCGGCCGAAGTTGATCGAGCTCATTGGCAAATACTCCCAAAAGAAGGGTAGGTGTTCTTGCACTGCGGGTTGGGGACTTGCATTTGCTAATTGTACTATAGATGAGTTTACGCAGCTCAATGAGAAGTTCATCAAAGCCCGGCGCGACTACGAGTCGCTTCTGGAGGCGTCAATGTCCCACCCCGCACAACCCCAGTATGGACGGCCGGCTCAAGCTTCTTACGGATATCCGGCCCCGGTAGGATATCCGCAAGCCCCGCCCCAGGCTGATCCTCAGCGATACTTCAGTCCTCGTCCTTCAGGTTCGCCCAATACTGTTCCCTTGGGGTGGTCCCGTCATCTAACATGAGAACAGAAGCCCAACCTGCGCAGTCCACTCCTACCCCTTACTATGGAGGAGAACAAGCTCACGCGTACCCTCCCACTTCACAGTCCCCTGATCCGCGTGTCACACCTCCCGCGGGCGCCCCGTATCAGCAACAGCAGCGCCAGTCCTCGAACGAGTTCTATCAGCCCACACACCACCGTCCCGAGTCGACATATGACAACCCGCAAGAACTAGGTACTTCTGTCTACGACTCTCCTGTCGAACATCGCCCTCAGTATCCCGGACAAGTCCTACCGCCATCTTCAGCGCAGCCACCTTTCCCGGCTCAGCAACAACCGCCGCCGCCGCCGCAGCAGCAGCAGCCGGAATTCCCACCATCTTCTTACCCTCCTGAAGACGCCAGCCGACCTCCAGCCGGGGCCAGCGCCCCCCACCACCAAGCACAGCCCCCCTACCCCACCCATCAACCAGCTCCGATGCACCAGCCTCCTCCAGTGCCAGGCACAGCATCCACACCCACACCCTACCCTTCTCTTACCCCCGGCGCAGGCTCTTACCAGGCATACAGCCCCTCGCAAACCGACGTGTCCAACCCTGCTTCGTACTACCGGTAAAGCATGTTTAATACTGAGTTGACGGATTGTTGTGGTATGGGAGGTATGAACGGCAAATCTTTTTTCTCCTGATATTCATTGCTTGTTGATCAGGCTTGATATCGGGTAGTGGAGAGGCGGTTTGGAATTGTTCCACTAGTATGAGCTTTAGCAAGAAGATGTTTGAGCTTTTCCATTTTCATACCACATTGTGTTCCATAGCGTTTGTTTCTGTTGTTGCAATATGAATTTTCCATGGGTCTTTCATGATTGTAGCTGAATCGTAGAAGAAAATTGGTGCCACCTACCAAATAACGTTGATATGGACATACTCTGATCGCTCCTAGCTCATACACTCCGGCAGAAATATGAGGTATAAAGCTACCTCGAACTACATCTCCGCGTGGATTATTGGTGACCTTAAGTCCAGTTCTATCAGAGCAGGCCAACCGGGATGTATCTCAGTAGTGGCCCAATCCAGCCCAGATGAGCAACACTGCATCGATCCGTAAGTACACTACAACTAACTACTTGGGGCTCAGTGCTTACGCGCTTGAAGCTAGAAGAGAAGCTAACCTTTGGAGCCTTGTCTTAATTCCACCACCTTGTCGGCCTCAACAATCATTCATCATGGTCAAGAAAGCCGAGTTACGGCGGAGTTGCGCCTTCTGCCGCGCCCGCAAGATCGCCTGCTCCGGCGAGCGCATTTGCACGGCATGTCGCGATCGGTCGATTGAATGTGTTTATGGCTTGGAGGGGCCCAAGGGTCGTCCTCGTTTGATGAGGAACTCGTCGGGTATACCTCCTGCTGCTACTGCTGCTGCTGCTACCACCAGCCTGATGGCAGAGCTGGATCTCATGTTTCGCGAGAACTTCAGTGACGATGATTCCACTACCCCCGCTCCATCGAACCTATTCCAAGACCGGGTAGCCACTTTTAATCGGCGTCTTCTGGCCGGGAGAGCCAGCAGCCCTCAACGCTCCGCCACCTCTCCGACAGGGAGTATCAGTTACCCCGGCTTCCTGGCTCTCGTCATGCAAGAACTGATTGAAACTGTCGCTGTCAAATTCAGCAACCTCGGCTGTCATCCCTTCTTTGGGCCCGGGGAGAGCTTTTATCACGCCTCCATGCTGCAGGACACGACCAAGGCGATGTTCGATAGTGCCCCGGCCTCCTCCGCAGACCTGGATATCTGGGATGAGTATAACCCGCATCTCATCTCCCAGTATCTCGAGGTCTGGTTCAGTAGCCATCCTTTGTCGATATCAATCTCCAAATCACTTCTTCTCCGCGAGCTGCGCAGCCAGAAGGCCAACCGGATATTGTTGGCGATCCTGCTGGCGGACGCCCACCACTTTGCCGAGGAATCTGTCAAGGGAGATCGCCTGGTGCGGTGGGCCATCGCGCAATTACCCAGTATCCCGGCGGGGAGGGGGGATCTCACCACAGCGCAGAGTCTCCTACTTCTGGGCTGGTATCATGCCTGCCGCGGGCGCTCGCGTCGAGCGTTATGCTATGTGGGATACGCCGGTCGTATCCTCACGACGTTGAAGTGCCAACTGTCCGAGTCGTCTTTGGCCGGGCAGACGCACATCAACGGTGTCGATCATGACGCAGTGGAGGCGGAGCTGATTCACAACATATGCTGGGTGATGCTGGCCCTCACGCTGTGGTCGTATATCCAGATGGATATGCCGCTGGTGGATCTCCTGCCCGCGCGGCTCATGCAGGTACTCCCTGCCAGTTCAGAGGCCGAGTCGACGCTGCTCCAACTCGATCGAGCGACCGAGAACCTCTCCACACTCAAGTCGCAGGTCTCTTCCTTGCAGGCGGTGTGGCTGCTGGCACATGTCACCTCGCTGAGCGCGCGTCTGTACGCCGTCTATCCGCGGCCCCAATGCGGTTCTCCGCCGGTGCCGCAGCCGTGGCAGGAAGCGATCCTGCACCGGCTCGATCGCCTCCTGCACCAGGGCCGCAGTCTGGCGCAGGTGTGCGCGGGGGCTCGTGAAGCCCTGCGGGACGTCGTCGCGACGGTGCAGCACGAATCCGGCGACAGCTGCGGCGGTCCCATACTGCTCGTGTTCTACCACGCTGTCGCATTGCATCTGCTCTTCCCTCGCAAAGAGATGGGACACGACGCCCCACAGGTTCTCGTCCTCAGCGACTCGCTCTTGGAGGGCCTCACAGCCTCTATGCATGATCTGCAGCAGCTGTTCCCGGCGATCCAAGCCCTCTCGCGACATCACTTGGGGCACCCCGCTCGCACAGAATCTGCCTCGCTGCATTTCTATATCCTTGGCCTAGACGCTGCGAGTCGAGCTCTCATGTATATCCTCACCCTCTGGGACCGTGCCACGACGGTGGAGCAGCAGCTCTGGCGCGATATCCTTCCACGGCTATTAGCAGGGGGGCGGCTGCTGCAGGAGCTCTTCGAACACGATACTCTGCTCAAGGATTGCCGCTGGCGAGCGGTAGAGCGTCAGCTGAAGACCGCATGCAGCAGAATCGAAGGTGTGATCTCCCGCTTCCGAGATCAGTCCTCCCACCGCTTATCGTTTGGTCTCACTCTGCCTGTGCCGCAGCCATCGGCCGCGAGCAATCCCCCCACAGAGCTGCTGTCTTTGTCTTCGTCCTCGTCGCTCGTGCCCGTCTCCTTTGATCCGGACTTTGAGTGGTTGGACGTGCAAGACGTCACGAGCCCGCAACCTACGGCGCCCGAATTGCGGGATTTCGGCCTCGCGGTATGGGCTAACCCTACCCCCCTGTTATCATTGAATCCGTTCGGACTCCTGCCCGGCGTGACTGAACCATCTGGTCTGGTTCAACCACCGACTTTCATGCCGCTTGACGCGTACTCGGACGATGCAATCCTATACCCCGTGCCCCAATCCGTGGGCGTACTGCCATCGACGTCGTCGGTCTCGCTGCCTGATATCAGTTTGGATGGTCGACAGAGCCAGCGGAAGCGATCATCGAACGACCGCAGCAGTGCGGAGGTGGATGCACGTGCGGAGGAAGGGGATGCGTCTGGGATGAGTCGGGTGGAGGAACCGAAGACGAAGCGCGTGAAGGGAGTTGCGTTCACATAGCTCCTCTCATCACGTAGGCGTGTATTGATCGCTGTTTCAGGTGTAGAAGTTTCTGCATTCAGTAGTAGCTCCTAAGGAGGTTGTACGCTGACGCTGCTCGGATTTTGTATGGGTTGTTTTCCCTTGGCTGAAATAACCCTCCGTCGCGCCACGGAGGTCCGTCGGGGTGTCGGATGTGGTAGATACTGATACCTGTCCATTCCAGCCACGGTAACTGCAGGCTGTACTCGGTTTTATTGTGGTTCTGGTTAAGGGGTAGGGTGAGTTGGTAGGGTGATTGGTACCTGTTGGTTTATGGATAGGTGCTTCCTGATTGACTAGTTGATCTTCGCGCAGAAATACCATGGGCATGCTTAGCGCGTACGGAGGTGGTGTTTGATGCTGTTGATGATGTTGATGATGTTGTTGATGTTGCTGGTCTGGAGGTAGATGTGGAGTATTGGGAGCCATGATGCTGTGGGTCGAGGGTCCTGAGGTTTCCATGTTGGATACAGTACTTTGTATATAGCTTGTCTGTACGCTTGTTGGTCCAGAGCAAAGAACTGCTAAGAATTGGCGTCGACATCTATTGCTTCTAGATAGACCGTCCTACCATAACGTCAATAAACACAGCACGCTATTAGCGCTGCTTACGGCGATAGCTAGTAGCTAGCTGTGCATATGCACTCTGGTCACCCAGTTGATTCGAGTCGAGTACGTTCTCATCCTCTCGTCTCCACCACCACCCTCAATATCGAAAGCCAGCTATGTCCGAATTCTACGCCCCCGAAACCCCCTCCCGCGTCAAAAATGCCACCGTACAACCCCCCCCCCCTTTCTCACCTCCCCATTCTACCCAAAGAGCATGAGCTAATACAACGCAGGGCCTCCACCTCATCACCGCCCTCACCCCCAACGGCCGGAAAGCCCACATCTACCTCGAGGAACTGAAAGACGCTTACGGCCTCGCCTTCACCATCAGTCTCATCGACCTCGACACGGAGGAGCAGAAGAAACCATGGTTTCTGCGCTTGAACCCGAACGGTCAGCCTGCGTTGTCGTCCCCAGTCCCCCTACGCTAGCCCTACAACAAGTCCAATAACGGTGGATAGGCCGCATCCCCCTCCTCATCGACAACACCACCACCCCGCACCCGCACCCCGTCATGGAATCCTCCGCCATCCTGCTGTATCTCTACCACAAAGTCGATCGTGCCCACAAATTCGGGTTCGCCGATCCCCTACTGCAGAGTCAGGTGCTGCAGTGGACGGCCTTCTGGGCTGCGTCGGGGCAGCCGGTGCAGGGGCAGTGGAATTATTTTCGGCGGAGGGAGGGGGAGGGGGGTGGCATCCATGATGGTGAGTTTTGTCTTCCGGTTTCTGATGTTCTTAGATGGGGGGGGGGGGGGGGGGGGTTTCGGGGTTCGCCTCCTCCTTCTCTGGGATCAAGATGATTGATGCATTTTTGCTTTTTTGCTGTTGCATTTGGGCACTGGGTTTAACTAAACCATAGACGCCGCGAAAAAGCGGTTCCACGATGAACTCCTCCGCGTGTACCACGTCCTCGACGCGCATCTCTCCGGGCGGTATACCGCCAGCAGCCGGGCGAGGGAGTACCTGGCGGGCCCGGGCGCGGGGCAGTATACCCTCGCGGATATCAATGCGTGGGCGTGGGTGCGGAATCTTCGGGGGGTTGGGCTGGAGGAGGGGGCGTTGGCGCGGTTGCCGGCGCTGGCGGCGTGGGTGGAGCGGGTGGGCGCGCGGGGGCCGGTGCAGAGGGGCGCGTTGGGGGAGGGCTATGATGAGGTCGTGCATCCGGAGTTGGTGGTTAGGACTTAAGGTGATTTTGGAGGTTCCTCGGTTCGGGCAGCTTGTACAGTACAGCCAGGGGAATGAAGCTCTTTTTCAGCTCCCCTAGCGACCAACCATCTTATTTACTCTAATTCTATAGAGGCCTTGGTGATTATAATACTCTTACATCCCCCTCCCCCCCCCTCTCTCTCTCTTTGCTTTTGAGCAACACATATACACTAGTACCTATATATCTATCTTTTCATTGTCCATCTCAAACCAGCTGGAAAAGCTAGACTTCGAGGAGGAAAAATCACAGGATTCCAGCAATGTCACAAAGCCGTACTGTCTCCGCTACGGGGCAGCGAAAAGCATTCTTGAATCGGGCTGAATGCCGGCTGGTAAAATTGTAGGAGCATTGAAGTTTGAAGTTTGATTGTACCATATCCTCGTCCCGCGAGGCAACCTTTGTAAGGCGAAGAGATGAAAAGCCAGTCTTGGTCAGGTGGTGTAGTAGGGCCTACCTTGGTGCCGTTTATATAATTCTTTCTGTGCAGCTCTGGTAATCACACTATAGTCCTAACTTTAGACTTCGAATCTCTTGACGCCTTTTCCGGAAACCATGTCCTAACCAGATATATGCAAGCAGCACCACGCGCAATGGATCTGCTCAACGGGTTGCTGGCTTTGGGACTGGATACTACTGGAATGGTGAGGAGCTGGCAAGCTGGATCACAACCGAATGATTCATCGGTCACATTGTTATACTTCGATGGAAGAAGAGAGATGAGGGATTACTGGTCGAGTTGTATACTAAAGCAGAAAAATAAGGTACCGTTGAGCAATAAACCAGCCCTCAGAGGGCAGCAGTATAATAATAGTTGAACATGAGGAACCACAGCCACCAGTAATAGCGTGAAATTAAACAGTAGTTATTGGGCTGTAGTAGTAAGCCTAATAGTGTGCAAATGATTAGCATGTAATGTTAACGCCCAGAACGTCAAAGCAGCATTGCGTGTAAATGCTGCTTTTGGGCCGCTCGCTAACTGTTTCATTGTATATGAAGTAAAAGAAGAATTGCTAATAAAACTTGTTATCAAATGTCTATATCTCAAAACACAACAGTCTATTTTCTGATATTAATCAAGTTACCCATGAGTAAAAATATGTGTTTTGTATGTTATCTGTAAGGTGGAGGGGCAGCCGCAGCGACGAGTACCTTTCTCCAGCTGTATATGAACATGACGCTTATGTATATCATATTAATCCAGTTTACCTATATGACTGGCCCTTGCCTCTTAATGACTTGGGTATACAGATAGAATCAGAATTGCCCGGAGTAAATAGAACATATACTAAAACAGCTGATACTATTTTCTACTACGGCTTGTGGTGGATTTCTTAAGTATATACATCTGACGGCTGAGGCATCATCATGATCGTCAGAACGCCACGTCAATATGCGATATATGCTGGATATGTCCCGAGAGCATGGTCAAACTTGAATCACTATCCAGAATGACTCACTGATGAGATACGGATGATGCTGGACTGTCGGTGCTGCTGCTGGCAATACCTTAATTCCTCGTCCGTCCCGCCTGCCTCGCTCACGTGACAATGCGTTGGTCTCTCACCCTCCATTGCCGTTCTCAAGACCTCGTCAAATCCTCTCGACCCCAGAGGCACTTCGTCTCTTCAGTCGCCGTTGATTAAAGAGAGCCTGCGAGCTGCTCGGCCTTCTCGACGCGACATTCTTCCCCTGCGCCTTGTGCCACGAAATTCAAAATCCCCAACCTCCACCACCACCAAAGCTCTATCCCCGCACTCGCGCTTCGCCGAACGATGCACCTTGTCGCCTGTTCCCAGATGGACATCCCTCACACCTCCTGCTGAACATCCCGACCCAGCTCAAACCACCCCGAAATTCTTAAGCCCGGGTATCTGCCCGGGGGCCATGTCCAGCCATGGAAGCTGATTGGGATGAATTGTCGCGCATACCCGTGCCCCCTCCGAGTCCGCACGGGTTGCCGACGGTCGCGACCACAATAGCCTTTGACGATGTGATGGAACTTCTGTGGGCCGGAAATGAATATGTACGTTTAATCAATCGATGACATGCCGCTGGCGATACTGATTTAGTGGTTGGCTGCTTAGGGCCGAATTACCTCCTTCTACGGTCCCGAAATGCAGAGGTATACCTCTGTTCGGGCACACCCTGTGTCCGAAGGCGCGGTGCGACAGATCCTCTTCCACGAGAGAGGCGTATTATCGATATCCTCGAAGAGTGCCCACATGATCACCCGACGTGGCCTGACACAGTGGCATATCGCCCACGAAGAGATGACCGACCTTCGCTGCATGAGTTTCACCGCACAAACGAACCGGATCATCGTGGCCGGATGCCAGAAAGTGATGTTCACCATCGATATCGATAAGGGTATCATTGTCGACAAGTTGCCGACGGAGTACAACTATACCATGATGAAGAAGAGCCGGTATCTCTGCGCGGCAACCGACACCGGGTCCGTCAACGCGTTGAGTCTGAATGACTTCAGCGTTGTGAAGTCGTGGAAAGCCCACGGCACCGCCGTCAACGACATGGATGCGCGGAACGATCTGCTCGTCACCTGCGGCTTCTCGGTCCGACACCTGGGCGCTCCGATCGTGGACCCCCTGGCCAATGTCTACGACTTGAAAACACTCTCCCCGTTACCTCCGATCCCCTTCCACGCGGGTGCCGCCTACGTGCGCATGCACCCGAAGCTGCACACGACGAGCTTTGTCGCCTCCCAGACGGGCCAGCTTCAGGTCGTGGATCTGATGAATCCCAATGCGATCAACCTGCGCCAGGCGAACGTTTCTTTCATGCTGGGTATTGACCTTTCGCCTTCGGGAGAAGCGCTCGCCATCAATGATGCGGAGTGTCAGATCCATCTGTGGGGCTCCCCGGCGAAGGTGCATTTCAACGAGATGAGCAAGGAAATCGAGTTTGCCGATGTCACGCCGCGGCCGCCGCCTGTGGACTGGGCTCCGGAATCGCCCCTGAACATGATCGGGATGCCGTATTACCACGATCGGTTATTCTCTGCGTGGCCGAGCCATCTCGTTTTCGAGGTCGGTAGTCCCCCGGCCCCTGTCGACCAGGCTTTGCTCGCCTACCTACGCCCCGCCGAGATCGGCCATTATGCGGCGAACCCGAAGAAAACGCGGCGGTACCAGGTCGAGAACACCCGCGCTTTATCTACTGCGGACACGGCGCTCATCGCTCCCAAATTCTTGAGTGAGAAGGCCAGGGAGCAGAGCAAGGTCAAGTCCGATGGTTCCCTCAGCGACACAACGGAGGCCTTGGCTGGTGTGAAGCTCAACGGTGAAGCGGAAGACGACCCGCTCCTTAAATACAGCAACGTCGAGATCAAGTACAGTCGCTTTGGTGTGGATGACTTCGACTTCCGGTAGGTTATATATTATCTCGCTGTACACTCTTCTGCATGGCTAACCTAGCTCAGATTCTATAACCAGACGACCTTCTCCGGTCTCGAGACACACATTGCGAATTCCTTTACCAACGCTCTCCTTCAACTCTTCAAGTTTATTCCGATGATCCGCAATGTTGCGCTCCATCACGCTGCCAGCTCTTGCATATTCGAGAGCTGTCTACTGTGTGAGATGGGCTATCTGTTCGATATGCTCGAGAAAGCCAACGGTCAAAATTGCCAGGCGACAAATCTCCTGAAGACCTTCAGTAGCTCTCGTGAAGCATCCAGTCTGGGCCTATTCGAGGAGAACTTGACGACCAAGTCTCTTTCTACGGCCATCCAAGCGGTCAACAGGTTCTTCTTAACACAAATCTCTCATGATCACCGAATGATCTTACCCAGCTCGGAAGAACTCGATCAGCGACTCAACACCGTTGCCTCTGAAACTATACGATGCATGTGCTGTCAGAACGACATCGTCCGGCCCGGGAACTCCCTGGTCAACGAGCTGGTGTATCCCGCCATTGACCTCAAGCAAATTCGCCGAAACCCTGCCTTCCGCTTCTCCAACATCTTGCGGGCCAGCATAGAGCGGGAGACACAGAATAGAGGATGGTGTAACCTGTGTCGGCGGTACCAACAAGTGAAGATTCGGAAAAGCATACACCGAATGCCTCCGGTCCTAATGCTCAACGCAGCACTGAGTAACCCCATCTGTCGCCGCCTGTGGGCAATTCACGGTTGGCTGCCGGAAGAAATTGGAATTGCGGTCGACAATGGCAAGGCTCTGTGCTTCGAGGGCGACGAGCTCAAGTTGCGACTTCAGTCAAAGATGGCTGGGCTTGTGGTGTATGAACTGGTGGGATTGGTTTGCGAGATCGACATCCCCGAGCATCAGAAAGCTCATCTGGTCTCGTTCATCAATGTCTCCATATCCTCCCCGGAGGCAGACCCTACGAATAAGTGGCACTTGTTCAATGACTTCCTGGTGACTGAGGTTGATAGAGATGAAGCCCTCCGGTTCAACCAGCCCTGGAAAATACCATGTGTCTTGGCTTACCAGGTCAAGGATGGACGTCATTCCATGGACGACTCTTGGAAGAAGTCGCTCGATACCACCCTTTTGTTCCGTGATTGGTCTATGAAGTAAGTATTCTTTCGAGTTTGTGGTGGCTCCTCATTCACTAACGCCCTTCTTTAGTGCTGGCCAAGCCGTGGATTCGCGCGTGACACTTACCGAGGAGGAAAAGCCCACTCCGGGCACCCCTGTTGCGCTGGATACGGAGTTCGTCGACCTCGAGAAAGCGGAAATCGATGTCAAGGCAGACGGCTCGCAAGAGGTGGTACGGCCGAACAAGAGTGGCCTGGCTCGGGTGTCTGTTCTCCGAGGCTCAGGGCTTCGCGAGGGCGTTCCCTTCATCGACGATTATATCAACATCAAGGAACCCATTGTGGACTACGTTACGCAGTATTCTGGTATCAAACCCGGAGACCTCGATCCCAGAACTAGCCCACACAATCTTGTCCCACTGAAAGTGGCATATAAGAAGCTCTGGCTGCTCCTGAATCTAGGCTGTGTGTTTGTCGGGCACGGTCTGGCCTCCGATTTCCGGAAGGTGAACATTCAGGTCCCTAAGAACCAGACGGTGGACACGCAGTATCTGTTCTTCCACCCCGGGAAGAACCGGCGTCTGAGTCTCCGATACCTCGCCTGGGCTGTGTTCAAGGAATTCATCCAAGAAGAGCCCACCGACAACAGCAACAACAACCAAGGACACGACTCGATTGAGGACGCGCGGATGGCGCTGCGCCTCTGGAAGAAATTCAAGGAGTATGAAGACGCTGGGGTCGTATCCCAGATTCTGGAGGAGATCTTCCGCGAAGGGTCCAAGCTTGGATTCCGCCCGCCCCCCAGGAACGGCACCACGACCGTCCTTTCTCGTCCGGGAACCGCGGTGACGATGCAGAATGGCAGCGGCCGCAATACTCCTAGCACCCCCGACGTTGGGGTTGGGGTTGGGGCTGGGGTCCCCGCCGGCAGCGCCCCTGCCACCCCCCGGCAAGCGTTTCGACGCTCGATCGCTTTGACTCCGAGTAACGGCAGCTTTGCTAGCCCTGCCGCAAGCGACATTTTTGGAGCCAGCCCGTTGAAGTAAGGCCCGTCGTCGGTTTTGGATGGAAGTGATAACGGCCTTCCAATCTGGACATGTGGCTTTTGATTACACTTATACCATGAATCGCTTGATAGAAAGCGACTTCGATTGAGGGGCCCTCAGTGGACTGTCGCAGTTGGGTATCGCTGGACAATTGGCTTGCTGTGCTTCGCACTTCAATCAGAAATAGAAATTACACTTAGATTCAATATTTTGCTTAGAGTCTGTTATAGTGATATAGTGACATGGGTAGATCCTTTGATTAGACTTAAGAGACGTGTCTATTGTACTGTAAGCTAATCGACGAATATCCCCCCGGTGACTGGAAGAACTGGTGGTGGGTGCCAGTGGGGAATGACGTGGTTGCGTTTGCGGGAGGATCTCAGATCAACTCAACTCAGCTCAACCCAGCTCTCGGCTTCCACAAACTGACTCCGGCCAATCTCTTTCTCTCTCTCCATTTACACGCTGCCTTCACTCTCCCCGCCCCAGTCTCACCAACCAGTCTGTTGATGGGCAAATAGAGCTTTACACAGACCACAGACTCCCTAGAACATCTGACCAGTTTAGATCTCATTCGTCGCACCCGTGCGCCGTCCGAACGAAAACCCCTCCTTCCGCAAACCTGCCCCGCCCCTCTCGACCGCCACACCTCACAATCTCACCATGTCGCGCCATCGCGTTAAGGCTGTCAGCTACGATGATGAGGATGACTATGACGATGGCTACTACTCCCCCGACCCCGAAGAGCAGGAGTTTCGAGAGCAGTGCACCACCGAGGTGCTGAACCAGCTGCGTGCGGGGGAGCCCTCGGTCACCGCCACCCGCAGCGAGGTCCAGGATGCTCTGTACCACTACTATGATGATGTGGAGAAGTCGGTGAATTACCTGAGAGGTGCGTGTTCTCGCTGTTGGAATGGATGACTCCCGCCTCCTCGGGGTTGGCATCCTGTTGCAGAGACGAGACCCAACTAACCACCGCATTACTTCCTTCCAGGCAAAAAGATCAAGGAACTTCAGAAGAAGCAAGCCGCTCCTCCTACCGCTCCAAAGACGAAAGGGACATCAGGTAAGCCTTTCCTGCAACTTTCTCCGTCCTTTTCCTGTATTTCTCGTCGGTGGTTGGGCTCGGGGCCACATAGCACTGGTGCTCTTCTGGGCTTCTTGGTTATTATCTTCGTCTTTTGGAATGTGAGTACATGAAGTGTCCTTTGTTTCGTGTGTGTGTGCGTATGTGCGACTGGTCCAAACTGACGTCTTTCTTGTCTTCCTCGCCACAAAGCTCTGGGACGGTTTTGATTCTAACAGGCTTTTTCTCTGCCAGTGCCAGTATATCCCGCTCCTCCTCTTATGTCTCCTTCCCCGGCGGCACACTTCTCGGCGGCAGACTTCTTCCGCGACGCTCCCTGGCTGAATGTCCCGGCACACCGCAAGGGTGAGATCCTTGTGGAGCCGCTTTACCCTCGACTGGGCCTTCTGGGCGGTGCGCCTGAGGGCGCGGGCGGAGGGAAAGTGTCGAAGCTGGCTGCGTTGGCTGCTGCTCGCAGGAAGAAAGAGGGCGATAAGGCTGCGGCTACTGCTGCTGCTACCCCACCTGCGGCTGCGGATACACCTGATGCTGAGAAAGCCCCTCCGACGGCCCCCATTGAGCCCAAAGGTGCTCCGTTGTCTTTACGCGAGAGGTTGGCGGCCAGTGGCAAGTCGCAGAAGCCGGCATCAGAGGGGCTGCAATCCCTGCGTACCCTCGGCAAAGGATCTCGTCAGGGCAGCTCCTTGTCGAGCAAGAAGCCTTCCCCGGAGCCGAAGCCACAAGAAAGTCCTAAGGAGGAGGAAAAGGAGGCTACATCTACGGGCGCAGAGCCGACGACCCCCGTGACCGGCAAGGCGACAGAGCAGGCTGCCGTGAACATCCGCGCACCACCGTCCACATTTGCCAGCGCCATTGTTGGGGTGTCGACCCGGCCGAAAATGACCGAGCCCAGCCACTTATCCGCAAACACTCTTGACCTGATCAGAATCTACGGACAGGATCTCGCTGAACCTTTTGACTTTGCAGGCCCAAGTCCCGACGATGTTGTCATCAACGCACAAAGCTCTGCTAAAGGTTTGGCTATTCGGCGCAAAGTATAGGATCTCCCCCTAATGGACGTGCAGGCTTCAAATCGAAACAGCCTGCTTCCAAATCGGCAGGTACCAAGAAAGCGCAGGCTGACCTGACGGGTGGGATGAATGACCTCAGCGTTGAGGAGAAGGTGAATGTCAAGAGCAAAAATCTAGATGTTTTGTCAGAGTATAGCAAAGCGAAACGGAAGAGAGCGATGAATTTTGCGGTTATCGGTGGGTGGCCAGCCCCAGCGTTTTCAACGATATCGCCTGCTAATAACAGAGTAGGCCATGTTGACGCGGGAAAGAGTACGTTGATGGGCCGCTTGCTTGCTGATTTGAAGGCGATCGATCAGCGTACGCTCGATAAATACAAGCGGGAGGCAGAGAAGATCGGGAAAGGATCGTTTGCTCTCGCCTGGGTCCTGGATCAAGGTGCGGAAGAGAGAGCCAGGGGTGTGACTATCGACATCGCCACCAACAAGTTCGAGACGGAGAAGACCGTGTTCACGATTGTCGATGCTCCCGGACATCGTGACTTTGTGCCCAACATGATCGCCGGTGCCAGTCAAGCTGACTTTGCCGTCCTTGTGATCGACTCCAGTATCGGCAATTTCGAGTCCGGGTTGAAGGGACAGACCAAGGAGCATGCTTTGTTGGTGCGGAGTATGGGCGTGCAGAGGATCATCGTGGCTGTGAACAAGATGGACTCCGTACAGTGGGACAAGGAGCGGTTCGACGAGATTGAGCAGCAGGTCTCGTCTTTCCTGACGACTGCCGGCTTCCAGCCCAAGAACATCAACTTTGTGCCTTGCTCTGGTATCAGCGGCGATAATGTCACTCGACGCAGCGATGATCCGAACGTGTCGTGGTACCAAGGGCGCACCCTAGTTGATGAGCTTGAGGCCACGGAGCCTTATTCCCATGCAGTTGACAAACCCCTTCGAATGACGATTGGCGATGTGTTTCGTGGCAGCGTGCAGAATCCATTGTCGATATCTGGCCGCATCGATGCGGGGAGCTTACAAGTGGGCGATCAGATCTTGACCATGCCCAGCGGGGAGACTGCCACCATCCGGAGCTTGGAAGTCGACGGAGAACCCAGTGACTGGGCCGTGGCGGGTCAGAACGTCGTCCTGAACCTGGCCAACATTGATCCCATCCACCTTCGATCGGGTGACGTGATCTGCCGGGCGTCCGCGCCGATTGCCAATGTCACTTCCTTTACGTGCAAGGTGCTGGCCTTCGACCACCTGCTGCCTAGCATGGTGGACATCCACCGGGGTCGTCTGCATGTACCGGGGCGGATCAGTCGGCTCGTGGCCACTCTGGATAAACAATCGGGCAACATCCTCAAGAAGAAGCCCAAGATCGTGGCGCCAGGCACAGTGGCGCGGATTGTGGTGGAAATGGACCAAGCGGTGCCTCTCGAAGCGCCTACGCGGATTGTTCTTCGAGCCGGCGGCGAGACGGTGGCCGCTGGCTTGTTGGAGTAGATAGAAGCAGACGGTGATGACGTGGCATTTACTACATAGACAGTTCGTTATTTCTTTTACTTTCTTGTGAAGTCTCAGGGGGTTGACAATAACTCCTGCTGGGTACTAGATAATAGCTATGTGCGGTGTGATGTCCATCTTGCCAGTCTGGCCTGAACTAGATAGAGAATCTCGAAGATGCCACCACGACTGTTGTGTCCGCAGTAGTTCCTTCTTAGACTAGCCCTGTCAGACCCTGTGTCATCCTGACAAAACCAACTGATACTGGCCTTAATCGACACGGGTCACTCTTGGACAGAGTGGCCGAAAGCAAGGGAGGCCTCCTGAGTGGAGAGGGTATCCACTTTCCTCAAACTCGAGACCCTGGTGGCTTGTTTATGAGTCAAGGTGTTGATGATGAGGAAGACAAAGATGAAGAAGAGGACGGAGTAGGAATAGTGGACAGCCACCCGACCCCGCAGACAGGTAAAAGGGACAGTTGTCTGAACCCTGTAGGTTGATCGCAACGGAACGGCGCAAGAATGCGCGGAAGGAGCAGAATTGGGAGCGGAGGAGACGGTAGTAAGTACATACAGTACACTGGGCACTGCACTGGGCACAGTGGCCAACTGGCCAGATCGGGATAAGTTCGACTCTCTGCAAGGACGAAACCTCGGAAAGGCGGAGCAAGCGAAACAAGCGAACAAATCGGAACGCGATTCTAGCAAGTTCGACGAACCGCCTGGAAAATTGGGCCGGCAGAATCCCCGGGCGGTGTTCCTGCATGGCTGAGTCAGCCGGTGCCCTGAACGCGCCCTCCACCAATCACCGCGCGAGGAGTAACCTTAAAATGCAATACCCGCGAAAAGGCCAGCATGGCCGCTGCGCTTTCTTTGCCGCCGCCGCCCATCCCATACAAGAAGGAAGGAACATACAAAGCTGGCTGAAGCTCCCCCCAGACATTCTTTCTCTCTTTCTTTCTTCCTTTCCTCGTCGCCTTTCTTTTCTCCATCACCCAACCTCCTCTCCCTCCCTCCCTCCCCTTCCCCTTCCCCCTCTTTGTTTTCTTTTCTCTTCGCGTGACAGGTACACTCACATCTCGTGATCTCGAAAAATATCGCTACGTGTCCTGTGGTGAGGACTACATATACACATACCATGGCGCGCGTCTCCGCTCGCCAGGGTGCGGCCAAGCCCTTCACGGCTTGGACCACCGTTTTCTACCTGCTTCTTGTTTTCATTGCGCCGTTGGCTTTCCTCGGAACCGCACACGCTCAGGATGACTCGTCGGTACAAGACAACTACGGCACGGTCATTGGTATCGATTTGGGAACCACCTACTCGTGAGTTGATTCTACCGACAAAACAGGTGCGGTGCTGGAGACGCGACCTCGACTAACCTCATGGCCTGCAGTTGTGTTGGTGTGATGCAGAACGGCAAGGTTGAAATCCTTGCCAACGACCAAGGAAACCGTATTACTCCCTCCTACGTCGCCTTCACCGATGAGGAACGTCTCGTCGGTGACGCCGCCAAGAACCAATACGCCGCCAACCCCCGCCGCACCATCTTCGACATCAAGTGAGTGCTTTTCTTTTGGACTGCGTGGATTTGGTGGTGCTAACATGCTGTCTAGGCGTCTGATTGGTCGCAAGTTCGACGACACCGATGTTCAGAAGGACGCCAAGAACTTCCCCTACAAGGTCGTCAACAAGGATGGCAAGCCCGTGGTCAAGGTCGAAGTCAACCAGACCCCCAAGATCCTGACTCCCGAGGAGGTTTCCGCCATGGTTCTGGGCAAGATGAAGGAGATCGCTGAGGGCTACCTCGGCAAGAAGGTCACTCACGCCGTCGTCACCGTCCCCGCCTACTTCAACGACGCCCAGAGACAGGCTACCAAGGATGCCGGTGTCATTGCCGGTCTCAACGTCCTCCGTGTTGTCAACGAGCCCACCGCCGCCGCTATCGCCTACGGTCTGGACAAGACCGACGGTGAGCGCCAGGTCATCGTCTACGATCTTGGTGGTGGTACTTTCGATGTCTCCCTTCTGTCGATCGACGACGGTGTCTTCGAGGTCTTGGCTACCGCTGGTGACACCCACCTTGGTGGTGAGGATTTCGACCACCGTGTCATGGACTACTTCGTCAAGCAGTACAACAAGAAGAACGACGTCGATGTCCGCAAGGACCTCAAGGCCATGGGTAAGCTCAAGCGTGAGGTCGAGAAGGCCAAGCGTACTCTGTCTTCCCAGATGTCTACTCGCATAGAGATTGAGGCCTTCCACAACGGCGAGGACTTCTCCGAGACCCTGACCCGTGCCAAGTTCGAGGAGCTGAACATGGATCTGTTCAAGAAGACCCTGAAGCCTGTTGAGCAGGTTCTCAAGGACGCCAAGGTCAAGAAGTCCGAGGTGGACGACATTGTCCTTGTCGGTGGTTCCACCCGTATCCCCAAGGTCCAGGCTCTCCTCGAGGAGTTCTTCGGTGGCAAGAAGGCCAGCAAGGGTATCAACCCCGACGAGGCTGTTGCTTTCGGTGCTGCTGTCCAGGGTGGTGTTCTGTCTGGTGAGGAGGGTACCGGTGGTGTCGTTCTGATGGACGTCAACCCCTTGACCCTCGGTATCGAGACCACTGGTGGTGTCATGACCAAGTTGATCCCCAGAAACACCGTCATTCCCACCCGCAAGTCCCAGATCTTCTCCACCGCCGCTGATAACCAGCCCACCGTTCTCATCCAAGTTTGTAAGTTGAACCGTGTCGATATTGTTTTCAGTCAGATACTAACTGGGTTCCAGATGAGGGTGAGCGTTCCCTGACCAAGGACAACAACCTGCTCGGCAAGTTCGAGCTCACCAGCATCCCCCCCGCTCCTCGTGGTGTTCCCCAGATTGAGGTCTCCTTTGACCTCGATGCCAACGGAATCCTGAAGGTCAGCGCCAGCGACAAGGGCACCGGCAAGGCCGAGTCCATCACGATCACCAACGACAAGGGCCGTCTGTCCCAGGAGGAGATCGAGCGCATGGTGGCCGAGGCGGAGCAGTTCGCGGATGAGGACAAGGCCATCAAGGCTAAGATCGAGGCCCGCAACGGACTGGAGAACTATGCCTTCAGCCTGAAGAACCAGGTCAACGACGAGAACGGACTGGGTGGCCAGATCGACGAGGACGACAAGCAGACCATTCTGGATGCCGTCAAGGAGGTGACGGACTGGCTGGAGGACAACGCGGCCACTGCTACCACGGAGGACTTCGAGGAGCAGAAGGAGCAGCTGTCCAACGTGGCGTACCCCATCACCAGCAAGCTGTATGGCTCTGCCCCGGCGGATGAGGACGACGAGGCGTATGGCCATGACGAATTGTAAAATAAGTTATTCTTAGAGGGATTTTTTCCGGAGTTTGCATTGCTTGATTGTTCAAGACCAACCAACCAGAATTTTGGGTTGATAGTTTAAATATGATACCTATTCCTAGAAGGATGCTCTCCCGATGCTCTTACACTCTCGGACTGCAGTAAGACCGTAGTTTGGCTTAACTGGTAAACTTTTACGATACTGAGTACGGAGGGAGTATTTATTCAGCTCTACCCTTAAGAAGAAGCCACCTCCCCATCTCCCTGAGCAATAAACTCCCTCACGACATCCACGATGACCTGATGATCATCCTCCTGCTTCAACCCACTGACGACAATCACGCCGACCACGCCATCGACCCCGCGCACCCGCACGGGGAACCCGCCGCCATGGATGGCATAATCATCCGCCACCGCCCCGCCATTCCCCGACCGGAGGGCATACTTCCGGACGAACGCCGCCTCCACCTGCCCTTGATCGGCATCCCTCAGCGCGGCCAACAGCTTGTGGCGCATCAACCAACTACTCACCCCCCACCGCAACACGGTATTCCGCTTCCGGCGCACCCACACCTCGTTATCGGGGATCGTGCCGGGTTCCGTGGCGCATTGGAAGACGACGTGTGGGGGGATGGAGTCGGCGGAGGTGGCCGGCAGGGGCGCCGTGGTCAGCGTGATGCTGATGAGGGCGGGTTTGCGGGATGTGGCCGGGAGGGCGAGGATCCGGGTGCGTAGGGCGAGGCCCAGGTTGAAAGCCGTGGTGGCGGTGAAGGTTGGGAAGAGGAGGGCTGAGGAGGTTTCGTGCGCGGTTAGGGTTATTGGCTATAACTTATTAGTATTTATTGGGTTGAGGGGGTTCGGGGGGTTTTTGGGGGAGGGTGGAGGGGTGGTGTTTTGGGGAGAGAGCGTCACGTACGTCGGTGCTGACTTGGCTGAGGGGTCGGTCTTCCATTTTGGTGGGTTGGGTGGTGTTTGGTTTGGTTTGGTATAGAAATTCAGGGGTGGTTTGTTTGAAGAGTCAACGTAAAGTCAAGCTCTGGGATAAGCCGGGGATGAGGGGTTTTATACCTTCCCCCTACCCTACCCTAGTCTTCTCTCCGCGTCGGGGTTCGCCCGCGGGGGAATGGCATTGGTAAGGGAAAGCGATGAAGGAAGGTCCAAGGCGAAAAGTGGAAACAAGTGGATCAGGGCCGATGACGTCGGAGTTGCGGTTCCGCGGATCGGGATTGGAAGGTTGACTTCGGTTCAGTTCTAGTACTCAGTTAAGTTGTGAGAAGAGGGAGAGAGAGTTGTGGACCTGTGTAGAGAGAGTACTGTACATGTCGTTCGTGGTAGATGTAGTAATATAGTCATGTAGTCATGTGTAGTACTGGGAAAGGAAGTGCATGCAGTGATAGTACAACTTACCATAGTATCTTCTGCATTGCTCCGCGCCCTTCCCCTCTTTCCTCCTTCTTCCTCCCTCCTCTCCCCCTCACGCTTCGTCCCGTCTACTTCTCACTTCCCACCAGCACAATGCGCCATCTGGTCAAAAAAGCCTGTGATGAATGCATCGCCCGGAAAGTCAAATGCAGCGGCGCCCGTCCTTGCGATGCCTGTCGCCAGAATCCCAACCCGGTCAAATGCACCTACCTCAAACCCGTCCGGCGCAGAGGTCCCAAGGTGCGCCGATGGTCTGGTCCCAATCCCAGAACACATGCACCCATTCCAGCTCCCGACGATGCTCCCCCAAAAGACCACACTACAGTCCCCCTGGCAGCGTTGGCGTATGTCGTTCAGCTCTACCGGCAATCCTCGTACAGCGTCTGGCCGGTCCTCGATGCCGCCGCTCTCCTCGAGAAGCTCGAGTCGACGCCGCCAGTCGACACCCTCTGCTTAGCTCTGGCCCTCTCTGCCGCAACCATGGCGCAGTTGCAACTGTCACCACTGCGCATGAGACACATCACCGTCGACTGCACGATCATGGCAGCCGAGTGCGTGAGGCTGCGGGACGCGAGCTCCTGTCGCGAGCGCCCCGACGTGCGAGGTATCCTCGTTTCGTTCTTCCTGCATGTGTACCACGCCAAGATCAACCGACGCCACACGGCGATGGCCTTCCTACAGGAGGCCATCGCGGGGGCTCGGCTTTTGGGGCTGGATGCGGGGTGCATGGCACGCGATGCTGATGTGGTTGCCAACCAGGAGGTGGTGTTTCTCCTACTCTGGATCTCGGAGAGGTAAAGTGCGGCTTTCCGGTGCGAAGTGGCGGCTATTGACGCTTGCAGGGGCTATGCGATGCATCTAGGGCGACAACCGTCCTATCGACGTCCTGTCGTGATCCCTCATCTCGATTCCGAGGGTAACGCAGAAGTGAAGGGCTTACTGGAGCTGGGTCGGCTGTTTGCAACCTTCGATGGGACCTGCAGCGGGCGTGGAAGTGCAAGCAGTTTGGGGAGTGTAGAATGTCTGGCCGAGGCCGAGGCCGCACTGGCAGTACCGTCTCCAGGGCAAGAGGGCGGGCCGTCCACGCGTCTGGCGGACTACTGCATCACCAAAGAGTGGATGCGCACCATGATCTGGCAGAAAGCACTGGCGCAGCGGCTGCTCTCGTCGACTTCCTGCCTCGAGCTCATGACCTTCCGCTTTCCTGCCGTTGTGGGCCGTTCTCTCCTAGGCTCTCTGCAGGGGTTTACCGAGTCGGACTTGCTCCCGCTGGGTCGTGATCAGGTAGGCGCTGTCTGTTTCAGGGAGTGAGAACCACGCTGAGAGCGGGCAGTTGTTAAAGTGCTTCGAGGTGACCAACTCACTAGCAGATACTATCCTGCTGACTGGGTCGAGCGCCGTGCACTCGACCTTGCAATGGAGGCCGCAGGACTTTCTCCATGCTCTGTACCAGAAATTGCTGCCCTTCCTGAAGCAAGACCCCATGCTGGAGGCCTTGCTCCGGGCTAAGACTGCCGAAGCTCTGGTCAAGGCTCCTGCGCGCTTGCTGGGCCTTGGCTATGGTCATAACAGGCGTACAGGGCAGATTTTGAGGCGTCAGACGGAAGAGTCTGAGGAAGCTAATATGGAAGGTCCCTTAACCACTCCACGACGGATTGACTCGGTCATCTGATTGAAGTGTCTGTCTACCTAAACTGCACAGGGAAGATTACACCTTCAGCAGGATTGTCAATCACTTTGATATCTGGAGCACAATTCTCCCCGCAATATCGCCCTTCTCCATCTCGTCATAGACTTGAGGCAGATCCTTGAACGGCCTGACCTTGATCTCTGGCTTCACCACCCCACGGCGAACTAGATCCACTGCCTCCATACATTCTTTCAGCGATCCGACCAGGTTTCCGGTGATCCGAAGCCCTTTGATCACAATGGTGGCGATTGGTGTTTGCAAGGTTGGACGTCCTGGGGGGATTCCCACACAGCTCAGGGCCCCTCCGACTCGTAGCATCTCGCACGCATGAGCGAACGCTTTAGCGCTGCCAGCGGTCACCACAGCAGCATGTGCACCAAGACCAGTAACCTCGTGAACGCGCTGCACCGGGTCCGTTGTGGTAAAGTCAATGAATTCGACAGCGCCCAGCTTGAGGACCAAGTCCCGCTTGTCACCGGCATCAACGCCGATGACAAGTGCTCCTTGTGCTTTCGCATATTGCACTGACCAATTAGCATCCTATGGTGTTTTGCTCTCGATATGACCCACCTGCCAAATGCCCGAGGCCTCCCCCTGCGCCCACCACCACTAACCAATTGCCCGCCCGAATGTTCGCGTTGAGAACAGCCTACACTGTCAGTGATATACTCGTGGCGAATGAGGTGACGTACCTTGTAAGCCGTCACCCCAGCGCACAGAACGGGGCCAATGACTTTGGGATCAATGTCCTCCGGCAGGATCGTCAAGTAGTCAGCATCCAACGAGATGTACTCTTGGAAGCTTCCATCCTCGTGATGGAGATGGTTGGTGCTTTTGATGCAGTACTGCTCGGTTCCCGCGAGACAAAACTCGCATCGTCTGCAGATCCGACTTGAGAATCGGATCCCGACCAGGCCTCCGACCTTGAGGTCTGATCCACACCCTGGGCCGAGCGTCACAATCCGTCCCACGCCTTCATGGCCGCCCACATGGGGTATCTTGATGTTTGTAATGGGCGTGCCCTCAGACGAGGCCGCCGTGCCGTTCTTCGTGTGCAAGTCTGCATTTGATTAGTTAGTGGGAGGTCACCATCGCAAGCAGTGTACTCACCACTCTGGCAAACCCCTGTGTATAGCACTTTGGCTAGAACCTCATTGTGGCCCGGGGTAGGAACGGGGTAGTCCTCGCGGAACTCGACACTGCCTCCGAGTGCGTTGACCAGAGCTACGGTCTGGGTTCGAGGGATGGATTCCACAGCCATTGCCGTTTCAACAAGAAAATGATATAGTATGAGCTGAAATTGAGAACGGGTTCTGATGGAAGGTTTAAGTAGACACCGCAGTCGTCAAGTTTGAGCTTCAATCTGGTTCGATCTGGGGAGTTGGGACCTATGATGCTATTTCTCCGATTGGCTTGTCCTTGCATAGATTGAGGAGTGCTGATTGTGTGTAATTCTCCGAGGGGCCCAAGCCTCGCATTCATGCAGGATGTGGTCAAGTCACGGGGTGGTTGGTTGGTTGGTTGCTTTGTCTGTTCGTGTTTTTCCCCGCCTTCTGCTCTTCTCCTCTCCCCCCTCACTCCATGCACATCATACTTTGCCATCGACCAATCTATGGACGATCCCTCACGGTGGCTACATGCATGCATCATGCAGCAATTCTCCGAGGATTTCTCCGATTGCCTTGCAAAGCATGACAAGCTTTTGCATGCTGTTCAGGACGACTCTTGGAGTCTTGTATGGCTCCTCACCCTACGCAGTGGTTCGAGACTCCCGACTTCGATGCTGGATAGCCACTTTGATTGATGGCTTGCTTTCGACCTGAACGAGTCCTCTGCCCTCATCTCCCATTGCCAGATTCAATAACGAGTGTCTGTACAGCTACGATGGTCCTCAACACAAGCCATCAAGCCGCCAGGCTTGCCTTGCGACTATGGAGCATACATCTCAGCTCAATCACAAATCCGTACCAGGGTGATTGTCGCTTCAGCCCTATCATTCGACAAAGCCGACAGCTAAGACGGACTGCGTTAGCCCCTCTAGACACAAAGAATATAGTGGGCTTTTACAGAGGTAAACAAAGCATAAGGTCTACTTCGAAGGGATCTGATCTGGGACGGCAACTGGACAAAAAGGTTGGCTCTTGGTTAAATCTAACAATGCTATTGTCCTTCCTCGTTTGACTGGTGTTTATCGAGAACTAACGACGATATAGACATCAGTTCCAGTCTGCAGCCAATCATGGAGACTATAAATGCTACAGCATCAGTCTGCTTCGCCGGCTCACACTTCCATCACCATCTCCCCCAACCCCTCTGTTTTTGACACTTCTTCCGACACCCTTCTGACACCTATACGCATACGTGTTGTAGAAATCCCAGGATGACGTCCAGTAGACCAGCAAATCCCCCCAATCTGGACAATATGCCCGTAGAACTGTTCTGGCAGATGGCCGAGCACCTCCCGGTTGAAGCCCTGACCAGCCTGCGCACAGTATCCCGGGGAGTCAGCGCGAGAGCACTGCAGCCCTTCGCGCAGTGTGGCTTGAGCACCGTGTCGATGACCCTCGATGCCCAGGGCTACGGCAAGTTGGACGAGATTGCCAACCACGAGTTCTACCAGAAATTCCCCCAGCGGCTGGCCATGTATCCGCCCGACGGCCCGTGCGACTGGACGAACGCGACGCTGTGCAAGCTGGGCCAGACCCTGGAGCACCAGCTGGCGCAGTGCCGGGAGGTCGTGCTCTACTACGGCATGCCGGACCCGGCGGACCGCCTGGAAGACATGCTGGGCCTGCACGTGCTGTGCCGCATGCTGGCCGCCGGCCAGATCCATCTGCACCGCCTGGTGCTGTTCCAGCGGCAGGCCCCCGAGCGCCGCGCCGCGCTCGAGCTCCTCGCCTGGCCCCGGCCGTACCTACCGCCGAACATCGCGAGCATCTGGGCCGAGCTGCGCCAGCTGCACGTCTACGAGCCCGAGGACAACGCAGCCATCGACTACGTGCGGGCGCTGCTGCCGACGATCCTGCAGAACGCGCCGCAGCTCGAGGATTTCAAGCACGTGGTCTCGCCGCGGCTGTTCCTCCGTGACTACGTGATTCCGGTGCGCTGCGCGATCTGGGCCGGTGAGGATGCGTCGGTTGTGCGGGCCCCGGCGCCGCTCAAGCGGGTGGAGGTCGCGGGCACGTACATCAACCTCGCGGACCTGATGGGGTTTTTGGCAAGGTACGGCCCGACGCTGGAGCGCGTGCAGATCTGCGTGACGTACGCCCACGGCAGCAGTGCGCGGTGGTCGGAGGTGCTGGCGCATATGAAGGAGGTCTGTCCCGTGCTGCGGTATGTGTCGGTCGTGACGTGCCGGCGGTCGCTGGGCTGCGTGGAGTCGGAGGACCGGGGCCGCATGTTGGAGGCATTGGATCGGATGATTGAGATGGCGGAACAGGCGGGGATTTAGGTTATCCTGTTGCTCTGCTCTGCTCTACTCTGCTCTGCTCTCGGTGTTGAGGCGCACGTATGGATCGGGTGTAGATCGTAGATTGTATCACTTTCTATCACCGTATTCCATCCCTCATAAGTAAGCTCAACATGATTGCGACTGACCCATAGCTCGTTCTCTTATTAAGTATTGAATTATAAATCCTCGCTCCTTTCGCCATCACACTCACCTATTGTACTGTAACCCTCAATAGCTCAACGTTATCAAAATCAGATCGAGACAGAAGTATACTTCATTCCAGCAACCAAAGACTTTCAATCAATCTCCCTTTCCCACCCAACCCAACCCATCCATAAAGTAACCCCCCACTCCCAAACCACCAGAATAAACCCCCCAAACCCTCTCCACAAACCAAATCATAAACACACCCCATCCCCCTTCAACACAACCCAACTGAGAATCAAACACAAACCCCCAACCCCAACCCCACCTCACACCCGACAACCCTAACCTGACTGCCCCGCGGCGGCACCCCATCCTCCCACACAATCGTATCCGTCCCATTCCCCCCCAGCGGCATCGGCCCCAACCTCACCCGAAACCCCCGGAACGGATCCCCAAACACATCCGACAGATCGAACCACACCTGGCCCGTCCGCTCGAGGTACGTGTACGCGAAGATCGTCTGCGCCGCCCCCGTGTACAGCCCGTTCGGGACCGTCGTGAGCTTCAGGCTGATGCCGCCGGTTTGCGGGTCGTGGTGGTAGGGGTGCGTGTAGCTTGCGTTGACCCCCAGAAGGACTTCCGGGGGCGTGAGGGAGGAGACGGCTGTCAGATAGATGGGGAAGGGGCATTGGTTGGTGATTGTGGCGTTGGCGGGGTGGAGTTGCTTCCTGAGGGGGATGGCGGAGGCGGTTGTTGCGGTGGGTAGGGTTAGGGTTAGGAGGGGGAGGAGGAGGGGGAGGGTTATGGGTTTCAGGTGCATTTTGGGGGGGGGGGGGGGGGGTGAAAGAGATAGAAATTGGTGGGTGAGGTGTTTGTTATGCTTGTGTGTTGGTTGAGGGATTAGGGTTGAGGTGAGCTAGCTATCGGATCGCTTGCTGATATTTATCTAGTGGATGGGCTGGGTTGGGCTGGGCTGGGCTGATGGGGGTGGATCAACATCGACGGTGTTGCTTGATGTGCGGTACAGTACATCCTACCTTACCACATACAGCTTCATTCGAATGATCGTCGCTAGCATGCTGTTGAGTGGACGTTGGACAGCTCGGATCACCGTGCGATCTACTCCTGTACGCTGACGACATGGTCGACGTCAGTTGTCACCGTCTCGGTGAGACTGTGCTACTTTGTCGTCAGTTGTACAGAAGCTACAATTGTTTGCAGGCATTCGAGGTGCACAAGAAGAGTGGGAAGCACAGTGTTCGGGTAAACAGTTCAGGAAGGTAAACAATATCTAATGTGCAGCGAGTCTAGCCTCCAGCTTTCTATATACATGTACACCACTACACATCGATCACGGCCGACGTGCCCAACGGGATATTCCCCTGCCGCGCAACCACCTGCATATACCGACTCGTCAGCCCGCTCAAATGCACCGTCGTCTCGAACCCCGCCCGCGCCACGCTCTTCACGAAGCTCGCCTCCCCGTCCGTCACCCCATAGATCGCCCAGTTGTCATACTCGGTGGCCCCGTTCCAGCTCATCGACACCGTCGCCTGGTCGTCCGACGTGCGGATCGCCACCACCGCCGGCGGCCAGAACGGCGTCGCCTTCCACTGGCACTTGAACCCGCGGTACGAGGCCACCGCGTTGTCCTCGCCAAACTGCGCCGTCATCACCGCCCGCCCCTGCGCGTCAAACTCCTTGACCCGCGCGATCGACCCGTACCCCAGCACCACATGCGACGACTCCGGGCTGAGCAGCTGGAAGCTGCCCTGGCTGACGCTGTGGATCACGTCCCCGGCGTCGGACAGCGCGCGCAGCGTCGACACCTTGTGCTGCACCAGGTCGACGTAGAAGCTCAGCCCCGTCGTCGCCGCCACCGTCTCCGTCGGCGTGTTGGCGTTGTTGAACAGGCTCAGCACCATGCCCTCGGCCGTCTGGTTGTAGACGCGGATGTCATGCTGCCACGAGAAGACCGCCTGGTCGTCGATCTCGAAGTCGCCGGTGTTCTTCTCCCCCTGGACGGAGTTAGCCCCCTCACACAACGTACACAGCGCACACAGCGCACACAGCGGACGAATTTTTCCGAGACCGATTTTCTCAGGCGCGCGCGAAGGTCAGGATGGAACTTACACTCAGCCGCCACATCACGGTGCCATTATTATGCACGTAGAACCCGGACCAGTAATGCCGCAACGAGATGATGTACCCCTCGTCCATCAGCTCCACCGAATTGATATGATACGCATCCCACGGCTTCTCCTTGGTGCCATACTCCGCGCCGAGGCCCTGCTTGGACCCCTCGAGCGGAATCTCCGCGAGGTGGTCGAGCGCGCTCCACGCGTACACGATCTCGTTGGTGGCGATGTCGATCTCGAAGAACATGCCGTCCAGCATGTAGTCGTCCGGCGCGCCGCCGACGGCCGTCAGGTCGTGCTGCGTGACGTTGTACGCGGTCACCAGCAGCGTGTTGCGGGCCGTGATGTGGCTCTCGTGCAGGTCGATGTACGAGGCGCGGGGCTCCGCGAACGGCGACACGAAGGCGCCCCCCAGCGTCACCGTGTAGATCTCGCGGTACGTGTCGTCGAGGATGTGCACCGTCCCGTACCCGAACCCCAGGTCCGTCATGTCCCCCGCCCAGAACGTCAGCACCGCCTCGTTGTACAGCCGCTGCGTCCGGAAGTTGGCCGTCACCTCCGCCGGGCCCTCGTACACCAGCTCGCCCGCTTCGTCGTAGATCAGCGCCGCCGTGCCCAGCCCCTGGTTGCCCCGCGGCCCCACGAAGATGTACCCCGGCTCCGTCGCGCCCGTCTTGGTCACTTTGAGCTGCGGCGGCAGGAACGCCGCCGTCCGGAAGCCCACGTACGGGAAGTTGTCGGCCGCGGTTGATGTGGCCAGGAGGAGGATGAGGAGGTGCAGCGCGCTGCACGCGAGGGAGAGTGTGCCGATCATGCTGGTCGATTATCGGTCATCGGTCCTCGGCGATATGTTTGTGTGCTGGATATACAGGCGGTTATATACGGGGAAGAGGGGGGGGGGGGGGGGTAAAAGAGCGTATCCCCGTAAAGGATGAAGGTAGGGACTAGTCGAAGGAATGACAAAAGTCAACTGTAAAGAAGACAGCGACGGTCAAGAAGAATATAATACATCGCAGAAAGCGGGGAGGGGGGGGAGGGGGGAAAGAGATATTAAATCAGGGACGGCACAGAGAATGGGACGAAGAGACAGCATCGAGTATAGTGAGTGGACTCGTTTTGTCTGATCATCCCCCGGGCGGTGATGGATCTTGCCTGTTGCGGTAGGCGGAGAGCGGGCTAGATCCCTTGATTGGTGGCCGATGGCCACCGGACGCGCAATGGATTGTCCTCTTAATCTCCTGTCTTCATCGTGCAGGAGGGTCGTTGGTTGATGGCTTGGACCCTTGACGTATGTTATGTTGCTGGAAAGGCGAGACCCGATATTTCTGCATGATGTTGGATGATATTGACAAGTGGCTTACATTTCAGCAGTGGAATTGACAGCTCGTGTCCGGCATCCATCCTTTGCCCAGCCGCCCACTGCATGATATCATGATCACCACTTCAGCAGCAGCAACTCCGACATATTTGCTATCCTTGGATCATTGCGGTGTATGTTGAAAGCCAGACCCTGGCATTGACAAACACGTCTTCACCTTGACATGCCCTACACATTGGAAACCAACCCATTTCGTCAACTGAACCCCGCTCCTAAAAAGAATGTCTCGACAAATACAATCAGTCTATAATTAATTAATCTATAGTTCACGTCCATCATTATATACATCCAAGAATACCAGGTAATCTATATCAGACACATATACAGAGAATTTAAGCCTTGCACATACGGCCCGACTCCGACACGGTCCAGTACTCACTGCCCACACCCTTCAGAACGTAGAACACGTGGTCGGGATCCCACTTGTTCTTGATCTGGGTCAGGTTGTCGTAGTTGGAGCCGAAGAAGGTCTCCTGCCAGTTCAGCTGGTTGAAGTCCGCCTCGTTCTGGTACGCACCGGCACCAGGAGTGGCGGCCTCAAGCTGCGGCACAGCCTGGTGGGTCATCTGGTACTGCTCCTCGACCATCTGAGACCAAGGGGCAGTTTCGTTCCAGGCAGCGCCAATCTGCATGGTCACGGCGGCCTTGCGCCACTCGGGGAAGATAGCGTTGGCGACGTCGTTGGAGCTGGTCACGTTCAGACCAACACCGACAGCGATGATACCCTCGCTGGTGATGTTGCGGAGAGCAGAGACCAAGGGGGTCACGTTAGAGTCCAAAACGGAACGGGGGATAAGGCGGCCACCATAGTTGTAGGTACCGACATCCAGGTTGCCGTAGGGAAGAGGACCCATGTACTTCTCGTAGTGCTCATAGTACGAATCGTACTCAGTGTAGGAGACAGTATAAGTAATGCCCAGGTCGGTCAGGGCGGCGAGGAAAGGAGCAAGGATGGTCTTCACCTCGTCGGTGGTCTTGTTGAAACCGGTCATCGGGTTGATCAGGAAGATGCTGTTGGTCATCTCGTAGATGACGGTGGTGCCGGCATCAATCATAGCTGGCAACAGCTCGTGGAAGCGAGCGACGCCCTCGAAGAAAACGTCAGTCGTGACGTTGGCCGCGGTGAACTCAACGCCAGCACCGGAAACGGTGGCATCAGAATAGGCCTTGACGGTAACGGACAGAACAACACCATAGTTACCGGCACCACCACCGCTGAGGGCCCAGTAAAGGTCGGTGTTGTTGGTGCGAGAGGCAGTGACAACATCGCCAGCAGCGGTGACGACCTCGAAGGACAAAGACTGATCGGCTCCCAGACCGAACGAGGTGCTCAGAGCAGAGTGGCCACCACCCTGGAGGTAACCTCCGGCAAGACCGACGGTGGGACACTCCCCACCAACCACAACGTGGCCGTTGGCGTGGACAGCATCAAGGACCTGGAATCCCATGACACCGCTACCGAGCTTGTACGCAGGGCCAGTGTAGGTGGAATCGGACCAGTCAACATATTCAATGTTGTTCAGGTGGTGGGTCCAGATGGCCAGAGCACCAGCACCGGTGGAACGACCAAGATAGCTAACGCTGCTGTTAGCCGTGGATCATGATGTGTCAACGTGCAGAGAAACTCACTCATGGCCAGTGTTCCGGATGACGATACGGATGTTGTTGGACTTGGCAAAGTTGATAGCCGCAACGACCTCATCGCTAGACGAGACATTGACGGCATAGTCCACATAGTTGCCAAGCACGCAAGGTCTATCCACGGAGGTGAAAGGATCGCAACTCTGGTTGGCGAAGTAGGTTTGCATCACGGACGAGGAAGTGTCCATGCTGTAAAATGGCGCGGAGTTAGCGTTGTTGATGCGACAAGAGGTGTGTGTGCATATCCTTTAGGGGGGTGTAAACTTACTGGGTCTGCGGGTAGTACCAGTTGCTTTGCAGCTCCTTGCACGCAGCAGCATCATAGTTGGGAGCATGGCAAGGGGTACCAATGGGAACTGTCGCAATCAAGCGACCGTTCACCGTGCTGTTCAAGGTCTCCCAGCTGGAAGTGGAGGGCCAGCAGTCATCCCCAGGCAGACAGTGGCAATCGCTGGAGTCGGTGGCGGAGACCGTGGAAGTGAGAGCAGCAGTGGCTGCTGCCAAAGCCCAGGAAGCCTTCATTGTGAGGACGAAAAGTAGAAGGACTGCTAGAGAATTGACTGGGATGTGAAGTTGAAGATGATTCTGGGAGTAGAGGTACTTTATACTTCTAGTTGGTGAGGACTAAAACGGACAGGCCATATCACGATCCATCCAACGAGCAGAGCTATTGGAAGCAGGCCATCTCGGAGATGTTCCCTAAGAGCGTTTAGTTCGAGGGGAACGGAGGATAGTGGAGAAGATCCGTGGTGCGATGCAGGCACAGCCAGGCAGAGATAATAATAATAATAATAATGTTGCAGGAGTCAGGTTAGTCAGTTAGTGAAATTAGTGAGTTTAGTCTCAACGATTTCAACCAGGAGGAGAAGTGGTGGTAGAACCGAGGAACGTGGACCAGTCTAGATACTTTAGCGGGACTCACTCAGGCCAGAAGGTGTACCGCAGCTCGGCAAATCGGAAGTCGCTCAATCTGGATGGATGCAGGCTAACTGTAAGAGGCAAGGTGCCGCACTCAGCCAGGTGGGGACAATTCCCAGTGGTGGCCGAGGTCTGCCCACTGCCCACTATTATTCCAGTTCCATCTCCGGCTTCCTATCTCTATCTCTCTCTATCTCTCTCTCCCCCTCTCGCACTGTGGCACTGTGGCACTGTGCCAAGGAGCCATCAGTTGCAGAATCCACCCTTGCATTCCTCCGCTGTCTTCCGAGCCTTACAATTGGCATGCGGCCATAATAGGCTTTGCACCATTCCGAAAGCCAAACTCCTTGGGCGTCATTGGTGGCTGCTGGCTGCTGGCTGCTGGCTACTACTAGGGCTTGTCTTTCACCATCCGGCTAAGGCGGGCTTGAATTTCATCCGGCCATCCCTTGAATTATTGAATAATAATATTATTATCGGTTACGGCACCCGCATTGGGCAAGGCACCTGTCTCACGATGCTAGACCACAACTTCCAGCTGCTCAGCGCCAGGACCTTCTCTTCGTGTTCACGCTCAGGGGTAAAGAGATTTCAAAAACCATGGTCATGATATCTCTACGTACTACCGATAGCTTCCCTCTGGGCCACGTACCCATAGTCACGGACTTCCGACTGACAGCGGAAAACCTCCAAGTGAAAGAAGTCACCGATGTATCTGCCTACCTGCTGCCGCATTCTCGACCTTGACCCACCACTGCTCTTTTCTCCTCAGTCCTCACCCCCCCCTCCCACATTTCTCCATGGACCCAGCATCCTGTCGAATCCAACGCTTGGGACAAGGGATCATCCAAACTGGAGGCAGACACTGCAGATCGAACACACCGACTAAAGGACTAAGATTTAACTTAGTTGTTAACGGCGCCCTAAAGATAGACTAGATTGGCGTCATTTGCACATGGTTTCTGGAATCAGTGCCATGTGGTAGTGATGATCATTTCTGCAGGGGGGAAGGTTAGAGTTCTCATCTCCTCGTGGTGATTGTGTCCACAAGCGTGGCGCTAACCCAGAAGCCCAAGCCCAGAACCACTAGACTACTACGTATCGAAGTGACCGAGCCTGACCTGCCCAGTGATCGGACCAAGCCGCCCATTGGGGAAGGGACCGCATTTCCACTGGGTTGCAGCTGCCATGCTGGAGTTACATTGGCTGTGTCGGAAGGGAAGAGTTAGCCTCAGAAATTGGAGGAGGATCGAAAAATCTGGCTGGGTGCTCGCCAATGTGTGCCACGGTTCTCTGACAGCGCCAGTCTTAAATTATCTTAACTACTGCCATGGCTGCTGTTGGCTGCTGCTAGTCTACTGCAGTTGCTTCGTATGCTTGCAGTTTTGCTTGTCTTCGCCAAGTCACTGTCGACACGGCCACAAAACTGTATTTCCCCTGGTCCCGAAAGCTTATAAAACTGCAACCCCAAAGTCGGCTTTTTCGACCCTCCGGAGAAATATCTACCTCGTACCTGGCACTGAAGCAATGAGGTTTGCCAGGATGTGCTCCCTGTCAAGATGAGCTCCGACAGTTCTTCGAATGCCGGCCCGGCCCTGTTGAGTGGTCTCTGGGCGGCCGTCGGCATCACCACATTCATCCTCATTCTCCGCATCGCTGCTAAGATCAAAATTCGTCACTTCCACATCGACGATGTGCTGATGATTGCGGCCCTAGTAAGTGATTCCCCTTAGTTGCGGTCGTTTTGCTATGAGTTCACCACTAATGGGATGTCTGTCTCTGTTTCAGATTCTAACCCTCTCTTCCATGGGGCTTTTAACCAATTCTGTCCGACATGGCTTTGGGAAAGACCTCGAGACCCTGGATTTGTCAGATGTGGAAGCAGTGTTGAAAGACATTGCGATACAGGTACCGCTCGTCACGTTCAGCACCGGGATTGCCCGCTCCTCGTTCGTTCTCTATCTGCTCGGAATCCTTGGCGGGAAGAAACCATACCAGATCGCGCTATGGACAGCCATGATGCTGCAGCTAGTCTGCAACATCATCGCCGCCGTTCTACCACTCAGTATTTGCCGCAATGTCCGGGCATTATGGGTTCCCGGAACGAAGACTACCTGCGGTAACACCGTTGCGGTCATTCACTTTGCCTATTTCCAGTCTTGTACGCATCCGATCCCCTACACATTCAATTGAGACTCTGGACTGATGGTTCGAACCAGCTATCAACACCGCGACCGACTTGTTCCTAGCAGTCTTCCCTACTGTGATCTTCTGGAACCTGAATCTAAAGCTTCGCATCAAGATCAGTTTGATTATCCTGCTAAGTTTGGGTATTGTGTAAGTGGATCGTCCCTCGTTTGATCGGCTCGCGCTAAGACCGCACCAACAGGGCTATGATTGCGTCTATCATCAAAACCACCAAGCTCGACGAAGTTCCTAGCGTGACCAATATCGGCGCGTCCGGAGGCGTGGAACTGATCCGCTGGGGTTACACTGAGAACGTGATCATCATCATGACCTCATCCATCCCTTGTATCCGACCGCTTTTGATCTCCTCTGTGAGGAAATTCTCCAGCAATGCCAAGTCACGCTCCTACGAGCTCACTGGACCCTTCAGCGGCAATAAGGGCAATACGAAAAATGGCACTGCGCCATCACAGAACCAGGAACGGAGGGATGATGACGCCGACAGCGTCGAACAGATTCTGCGTGAGGCCTACCAGCAGAATTCGGCGCTGGAGGCTGGTCGTGGTATCACGAAACAAGTCGACATCTCGGTAGTGTCTGATGGGTCATCTTTCGGACGATGATCGATCACTGAAAAACCTACTTGGACGAGACCATTCACTCTTTAGATTTTCCTTTCCTTCCTTACTTTTTTTTTCGTTCCTATTCTCCAATAATGTTCTTTCTCTTATTGGCATGTGCGATATCTAGAATCCTATACTGATAACGACGGGCACGACTGTCATGGTAGGCAGTCTACGACTATACTTAATGAATTTGGTTTCACTTTTGGGAGAGTTTTATACACCTGAGGCACTAACATTGCCATTTTCCTGTTTCTGCTTGTCAGCCCTGAAGATTGAGATGGTGATGGCAGCGGGATTGGCTGAAAGCCACCCCCACCGTGTCATTTCCCAAGAGCAAGTGACAGCCAGCCGATGCCCTGAAAAGCAGGATGTCTCAGTTGTGAACCATGGAACAGTAGCGATCTATTGGCATACGGAACCGTGGAGCGAGGGAGGAAGGGAGGGAGGGAGGGAGGTTCAAGGGAGAGCGTGCGGTGTCTCCACCCGGCCTGATTAAACTTTTTACACAGTGGCCACTGCGCGCCAACATCCATGAATCCATCGATCGAACCCGGCTCTGCACCGGCCGATGCTTGCCCGAACGGTATATTGGCCCGTCTCTGCTGCGACAACTCGACAAGGACCTGAATTTGGGGTTTGCGGAGAATGTCCCTATCTTATCTGCTCTGTCCTGCGATCTGCATGATCTGCTTTTTTGGTCGGTCTCTCCGGGGACGGAGTTCAGCGGTTTCAGTTCTCCGGTGATTGGGGATAAAGAATGAACAGCGATCGAGCAATCAGAGACTTTTTTGTCTTTTCGGTAGAGACCGTGTTTGCGCAAGGTGGCAAGGGAAATGAGTTCCGCCAAACTGCCGATTAGAGTTTGCTTTGTCTTTCTGGCCGGTGAATCGAAGCGTCTCTGGGAAAAACGCCTTCTGGAACGGACGGAAGCATCAAGAGTCGATTGACGCAAACTCAACTGAAGAATCACCTCAAGCTTAATCGACTGGAAATGACGAGAGAGACCCGCACCCATGTGGTGCAAGTGACGATCTCCGCAGCTGAAGCATACTCAAAACCACCGTTCATCCACAGTCTCTTCAATTTGGGTTTTCGGAACACATCCTCAGTCCGTTCTGATTCGAACCTATATTTGTGCTTGTGTTTTGGATCTGAGGTCATTCACCCATGTTATGAAGATCCGTGCCGGAATTCCCGATCATGCTGAACGAGTCATGATGATTTCGACGGCGAAGGATTGAACGGCTTGTTGGTGGCACTTTTTCCAATTTCTCTGTGTCACTCGGTCGTATTGTTCCTGAAGTGTAGCCTGCATCCGGGGAGCTATTGAGTCAAGTGTCTTGTGCTACAAAGCTCGGCATCAATCGTATTACCCGCACTAATGGCGTTTCCTTGTTGACTGTTTCGGTTTGGCTCACCCTTATCCTCGTAGACCTTTCTCTGCGCAGTCGGCTTTAGGGACTGGGGGGCTAGGCCCGACGATGCTATTCTCAGAGGTGGAACCTGCAAGGATGATGCAGTAGTACCATCCTGGTGCGCTTCACGTTGGTGAGCTCGTGCAGGAAATAAATTAATAATAAGCTTGACTAGACTCAGGTTCTTCTCGGAGGCAGCCGGACTAGTCTAGCCTGTCTGTGCTTGACGCCGACAGCCTCGGAGCAAGAGAGTACACTACTCCGGTTGACCCTGGTGATTTTGTTAGTACGGTGGGGAGGTGCAGGGATTTGAATCCTTTAAGCGGTGTGTCTACCACCAAGCACCGCCTTCCTTATCAAGCCACGTGTTGAATTTATGAAGCTGTGAATATATTTTTTATTATTAATATATACTAATTCTTGTTGTTGTAAAGATGCCTTCCACGCCTGAGCCTACCTCTTCTAAAATACTGAAGTCTAAACGCCTTGGCTGAGATGATCGACTCCAAGTTCTTACTCTTTATAATACTGGCTTAATATATTAATAAATTATAAATTAGCTTGGATTTAGCTATTGTTAAGTACAATACATGTGTTAAAGCTAATAAGCTATATTTTAAAAGGCCAAAGGCCAACTACTAAAGCTTTTAAATAATAATATTAATTATATTATATAATGGATATTAAGTTTAAAGTGTATATGCTGTTTGCTATACTACTGTGTTATTTAAGAACTTAAACTACCTATTGGAACTACTGCTTTGGTATATACTTTAAAGAAAAGAGACTATTTATACTGTAAAGCCTTTTAAAAACTACTTTTTTTACCAGCTAATAAATAGGTAAGGTTAGCTTGGGTGCTTAAATACTTATCTTAGACTTGTAATTAATAGAATTAAATTTTTTAAACTAATAAAACCTAGGTAACTTTAGGCTTTTATAAACAGATATATATAACTTGTAAAGCCGGTGAAGAACTTGATAAGACCTGCCTTTATACAAATCTATTATATAAATATGGCTGGATGTTTTGGGCTTTATTCCACAGCAATTTTAAAAGGCTCTGTTTTTTTTAAAAGAAGAAATAGGGCAGTATTAATGCTGAGTATTATTCTAAGCGGATTATTCTAATAATCTATAGATATATATATTTAATTAAGCAACAAAAACAACAACAGCTTTAATTAATGCAAGATAATACACCCGGCTATATAAGTAAAAATACTATTTAAAAACTTTAAAAGTATAGAGTTTTTTTAATTACTTGGCCTGCTTTTTTGTCGGATCTCAACCCAATTAAGGCTATATAGAACTGGATAAAAGACTGGATGGAGCAATTCTTTTCTAATAATAAACAGCTATTATATAATTGGCTATATAAGGTTGTACAGGCTTTTTAGAATACCTTGCCAGAGGTATTTTTAGATAAATTAGTTAACAGTATAATGGTAAGGTGCGAAGCAGTAATTAATACTGCAGGTGGCCATACAAAGTATTAATAATTATATATACAGCAGAATTTAAAGGATTTGAATCCCTGCACCTCCCCACTGTACTAACAAAATCACCAGGGTCAACCATAGTAGATGGGCTCCGTGTTGAAGTGTTGAAGACTCCTCGCCCCTGAGCCGAGGCACCCTTGCAGCCTGGCGGTGTTCTGCCTTAGGCAGAAGTCTCAAGATCAGGTGACAAGTCTGTCAGTTTGGGGAAAAGGGCGTGCCAATAGGCGGTCGGCTGTCCGCCTTCTTCATTTGACCTTCATATTGTACTTATCCTCATCCACAATCAATCACCCTACTGTTGTTCAAGTATCACTCTGAGGCCTGGATAATGCTTCTGGCTCATTGTCGTGACGTGACAGTCAAACAGCCACAGAGTTATATCTCACCTTCGCTTCAACTTTGTGGACGAAGGCTTCCCCTGCCAGGGCATCATACACCAGATGAATCAGACCACCGGACACCCGCTTACCATGCTTCATCGTCTTGATTATGATGGTTTTCATCCTCCACTTCAGTGATCTTGGCTAAGGAATTGATTATCCATTTCCATTTCAGCGGATCCAGTCCCAATTCCACTTCCGCCAATCATGTGCATCTCACATGTCGATCTTCTTGATTGCGGGGTAGTCTATCGATCGTGATCTCTTTCGATGCCAACAAGCAGTCCCAGACCAAAGGTGGTCGCTGCTTTGATAGCTAAGATGTCGAAGCTCCGGCTTGGAAGTCTTGTGTGATGACTTTCGTCCAGATGTGAAAAAGCCACAGACTTCTTGCAACCCTTTCTAGCCACTGTCACCTCGGCCAAGGCTCTTCATTGCAACCATCACGATGGCTATCACGTCATCGACACCCGGATTGTGCCAATCCAGAACCAACCACCGGCCCAGAGTCGAGCGCATCAGACCCAAGCTCAACCTCTCGCTGACAGCCTTTTTACACTAGAGCTGCGTCTATGACTTGATAGCGGGGGACACGGCAGACAAGGCCTGGTCAGACAGGTCATACACAGGGGCCTTCCCGCACTGACACCGCGTGGTCTGTTATCTGATTGCACGACAGGCAAGAGATATTTGGGATGACCGGACGGATCTCGAACCTAGCATCATCGCCCAATCTAGCCCTGGCGCGAGGAACGCGCAAGCGACAATCACGGAATGACAGGGGTATAACTTGAGATTGCTATCGTGTCCCGCCCCTCAGCTGGTTCTATATAAATACTGTTCTTGCGCTGTCTGCTTCTCATTCTGCTCGGGGTTCTTTTGACTTGAGTACATTAATCTCGACCTGTACACGAACCGGCCGGCTAGCGATAGAGCCATCATCACGATGGGGCGAAAGCTTGGTCTCTTCCGGGCTATTTGCCTTGTGTCTGCTAGTTGCATGGGCTCTTTCGCCTTTGCCTTTGACACGGGTGTCATCAGTGGGTGATACCATGCTCAAGCTTAAGGATTTAATCTTTGGATGCTTATATAGTGCCTTACCTCAGGCGGCGTCCTCACCCTATCCTCATTTCAGAAGGATTTCGGATATACTACAGCTCAGAAGACCTCGGTGAATTCCAATGCTGTTTCTATTCTTCAGGCAGGCGCTTTCTTCGGCTGCTTCTTCACGACTCCCATAGCGAAGTATCTCGGTCGACGGCTTGGGCTCATTGTCAGCTCATTGGTCTTTACTGTTGGCACCATCCTGCAGGTCGTCAATTCCCACACGCTGGGCACCTTCTATGCTGGTCGTGTTATCGCCGGACTCGGGATTGGAGCGGCTACTGTATTGATTCCAGTGTACGCGGCCGAGATGTCGCCCAAAGAGTTCCGGGGTCGGCTCGGGGCATGCTTTCAGCTCTTCTTCACCTTGGGGGTCATGATTGCATACTGGGTGACATACGCTGTGGCCAAGGATCAGCCGTCCGCGACCAAACAATGGCAGATCGCGCTGGGTCTACAACTGCTGCCTTCTTCCCTCCTTCTGTTCGGGATGTTGGCCGTCAAAGAGAGTGCCCGTTGGCTTGCTTCTAAGGGCAGGATTGACCAAGCCCGCGAATCGCTCAAATGGGTCCGCGGAGGCGAGGAGACCGAAGAGCTTCAACAGGAGTTTGACGAGATCCTGGCCGGTATTGCAGAGGAAGCCCGTATTAAAGAGGGCTTTACTTTTCGCGAGCTGCTTCTCCCAGCCAACCGGTACCGCCTGTTTATTGCCTTTACTATCCAGCTCGCAGCTCAACTCACGGGAAATACGTCCCTTGCCTACTACGCGACGCAGATCTTCTCGGCGGTCGGCGCCGGCAATTCCAGCAAGCTCGTGACGGGCTTCTTCGGGCTGGTCAAAGTGGTTGGCGTGTGCGTCTTCCAGCTCTTCGTCCTCGACCGCGTCGGCCGCCGCTGGCCGTTCATGGTTGGCGCCGCCGCCATGGGCTCCTTCATGCTCATCATCGCCTGCGTGCTCGCCACCCACCCGACCAACGCCTCCGCGACGCACGCCTCCCCGGCCGGTATCGCCATGATCCTCATGACCTACTGCGAAGCCTTCAGCTACAACATGTCCTGGGGACCGCTCCCCTGGCTCTACGTCGGGGAGATCTTCAGCAGTCGCATGCGGGAGATCGGGGTCACGGTGGGAGCAGCGTCGCAGTGGTTGTTCAATTTCATGATGTCACAGATCACGCCGCATGCGATCGACAACATCGGGTGGCGGATGTTCCTGATGTTTGCCATCTTTAACTATGCGGTGGTGGTCTATGCGTATGTGTTTTTGAAAGAGGTACGTTCTTATTTGTTTCTTGGCTTTCAGATTGGCGTGTGGATTTGAGCAAGCTGACTGGGTTGTTTTGGATTCAGACCTCGCAATACTCCCTAGAAGAGATGCAGCACGTCTTCGGTGGAGATAAGCCTCCTGGGGAGGAGAAAATCGTAGAGGCGGGCGAGGCGGGTCGGAACTCCAGGGAAGTACCGGAGGAGACGGGTGGGCACACGCATGTCACCACGCCGAAGGTGGAATGAGGTCGGGGTCAGTGGGGGTGCATAGGGCGGGGGATGATTCCTGACCGTCATCGACACAGTTGAGCTCGATGGATTTCATGGTCTAGACAATAATTAATGAGGATATAGTTTACCGTGCTATGCTTTTACTGTGAGGGAAGGACGAGTTTGCTACTCCACGCGTCTTTTCGTCTTTTGATGAAGTGTATTGGTAGCCAGTGGGTGATGGTCTGCATAGTGTAGTAAAAGAGCAAAGCATTACCAATCAGCTGCCCAGCAAGCTGGATAATCAAAATAATAAACAGGCGGTAGTAGTTAACCAGAAAAAGCAGCTTATTGACAATAAAGCCCTATTTTTATATGGGTTCTGGAATACCAGCGAGAGTCTGGTTGAATATTAATCAAAACTCTTCAGCCTTATTACCACCCTCAAACCCGTTCGACGGAAAGAGGAGGGAGGGTCTAGGAGTTGAACTCGGAAAACAACTCATTGAACCTCACCCACCCACTGTATGCTCGACACCATTCTCGCCAGCCGTTCTATAGAAGATAGGAAGTCAAAACTCTCCATCTCATTATCCTAAGTGGGTAGTACTAACAATTACCTACATCTCCACATGCACTCCGACACAACACAATCCGGACTTGGCGTTTCTTGATATATGTGTGTGTCGCAACTAAGACAAGGGATGGGTTGCAAATGGAGGTTGGTAATGGGGGTCAATGATCCATAGGAATTGGAGACGGACACATTATTGTCTAGTGAGTCCGGAGTGAATAGTGTCGTGTGTCGGTGCTATTTGTGGGAAGTGGGAAATAGGACTTTGACGGTAACGCTATAGCACCACTACAATCCGGGAAACCACGTTGGGCTATGAATCATGGCCAGCCCACGAAAGACGATGAGTCTGACTAGCGAGGGTAAAAGGACCCGACCTGGTAGGGGGTCAGGAGCATTGAACGAGGCACCACAGAGAGGGAATCGGGATGCAGCGATGGCGAAACGATGGAGGTCTATACCAGTAAAGCTAGGTAGCTATGTTGGAACGTTCGACTGAGCCTGGTGGTTCTTGTTATCCGGTTTGCTTAGGCGCTATCACATCTTAACTCAGACAGTCTCCCCTCACTCAGCCTTATCCTCGAACGGCCAGGCTTTCTCCCACATGCTCCGTTCCGCAGGGGTCCTCGATTCCCGATCCAGAAACCTCTTCTTGGCCATTTCCAATCTTCCCGCCATCTCCTCATAGTCATCAGGCGGAACAGCGCCGTTCCACCCGGGATACGCCCCTAATTCCTCGATCACCCGGGCCTTCCTCTCCACGTCTCTCTCCCATCGGGCGTACTCGTCAGCCTGCCGCACCAAGCCCCGCTCGGTATACTTCAAGGGACACGCCACGCTCGGATCTCCGGACCCATCCACCCCGACAAGCTGTTTCCAGACCTCGTCCGTGGCCACGTTGGCAAGAAGCTTCTGGACATGCGGCTCCCCATCGTCGAAGACCGATCCCACCAGACCCAGTAGATCTGACTGCACCGTCTCGTGGTACTTGAATGCATGCAACAAGTCCGGCGCGTCCTTGTAGACCTGCGTCTCGTAGTAAAGCCACAGCGTCTGCGCGAGGTACAGCTCCCCAGCAGCCTTTTTGTCGGCGGGGTTCAGGTCGTGAATATCCTCCGGAAGCTGAGGCTGGACGAAGCGCTCGGGCTTCGGCCCGTCATACTCGATGAGGGATGGGTGGTGGGCGATCAGGAATATCGGGTAGATGGGGACCGCTTGCCAGTCGATGATGCTGGTGATTTCGGTGGGATGGTTTTGGTTCACGAAGATGTTGTCCAGATGAAGGTCGTTGTGCCAGATTATGCCGTTGTTGAGGGCTTCGTCCTTGGGAAGGAGATGTTGGTGTATGCTTAGGAAGTCTTGCAGGACGGATAACTTGGTTTCCTTTCGGGGATGGTATCCACCGGGCCCGTTGAAGATTCCTTGTTGGTGGGTGAGTGGGAAGCTGGGGAGTTGGTGGATGCAGGCTAGCTCGCGCTGAGCCAGGGCGTTGATGGTGTCCTTCGTGCTTGGCCCTTGGATGCTGTTAGTTCGTGTGCGAGGACTGACTCGTATAAGGGGAGTGGGGGATTGAGCTTACAAGGACCTCGATGGACGTCCACCTCCGCTCGTTGGTCGTCAAACCATGCCCGGCCTGTGGTTGGTCCAATTGCAAAGGTATCGTCAACGGCAATGGCCTCGGACTCTGCGATGTCCTCACGAAGGTACAACGAGCCGTAAGCTGAGAACCTCCCCGAAGAGAGTCGAGAAGTGATTGAGCCGATTTGCTTGACGATAGACAGTTTGTCCCGCGGTCTGAGAGTCTCCCACACGCGGCTCAGCTCAATCCCGGGGGCTTTCTCCATGACGATGTACTCCGCGCCTAGTCTACTGTCTCCAGCCCGGGAACAATACGTCAGGACATTGGGGACGGGGAGGTGGAGGTTCTCCCTTGCCTTCGTAAGAGTTCAAATCAAACATTAGTCACACTGAATAGTTCAGCTGAGTCTCATACTCGGAGCGGGGCGAGTCTCACATATCGCATGGTCGCCACCTCCGATGCGGTGGTGTAGTGAGCCGGGCCGGCGTTCGGATTGGGGATCTTGATCACGAGCTCCCGGCCATTCCGCATAGTCACGAGCAACGCTTTGTTGAAGCTCCCTTCGGGAAGCTTGGCGATAGTGGCGCACACGGCATTGTTGCCGGCGGCTTGCTCGGCGATGCGGATCAGAGCAGGCAGGTCAAATGGTCGATATCTGCTTCGCAGCTGCTGGGTTTCGTTCCAGAGCCAGCGTTGCGCGGAGTAAGTGTAGAGGGTTTCTGGGTCGCATTCTGTAGGTGTGGGATGGTGAGCTATATTCGTTGTCGCAGCATAGCCGTCATTTACCAGAGGCGCTGGCACAGTCCCTGATAATCGTGGTCCCGAATTGCGCGCCCTCTTTACCGTCGTGGTGGTGGACAATGATCGATATGCGATTGTCTGTAACCTTGAACGATTGAGAATTAGCAGGAAACCCGAGGACTTGCCGAGTTGGACTGGCATTTCTTGCTGATCGATGACGAGAATGTTGTAGGTTCATCTGCCCGGTTTGAAAGTTGATGTTGGATGAATCCATTCTAGGAATACTGTCACGTGCTCCAGCTGTAGTATATGTGAGTTACAATCTCAACATAATGCAGTAGATACGTTGGCCCCATCAAGAGTATGTTTATGGTCAAAATCAAAGACTAAGAACGAGAAGTTTCTATCAAGACAGTCCGCACTTTTCTTCCTGGACGATCGCTTGCCACTTGTCGAACCATCAGAGATCGACTTTGACTAATTACAGTACAAACAATAATAGAGCTAACTATCTTATCCCCCCCCCCATCGCCCCAATAAAAGCGAAGACCTGCTTCAGCTCTCCATCCATTAGATTTCGCCCTCATCGTCCCATCTTGGTTTCTCCGTCACGTCGTTTACTCCTTGGCACGGTCAGGACAACTCTGCTTTGGTCAGCGACAAGACCCTACGGCCGTGTGCTGCAACAAAAGAAAAGGGAAGGGATTCGGTGGTCACACACATCACACGGTCGTAGTCCAATCGAATAAGAGTGTCAAAGCATCTGTATCTCGCTTCCGGTTGGCGTTGATAAGCTGATTGATGTTAACCGCCTGTCTTTCACCGTCGTTCAAGGTCACCCGCTTTCTCGACTCACCGATCGCTTGCCTGAGTGTACCCTGGGCTCACGGATGTTAGGCCCCTCGGAGCAGCTGAAGTCCTTGATTTCGGTCAGATGATCAGAGTGAGGAAGCTATACACAGCAGCACGGTCAGCTCCATCATATCTCTTGATGGCGTTCTTCCGTGGGAGGGGCTACCAGTGTGTGATCTGCTTGCTGACGCGAATCCGTTGGACCGGCTGCTACCAGCGCACTCAGCATGGCCACGAGATAGATGAGCTGCATCTTGGATCCCGGCAGTTGGAAAGAGAGCCAAGCGGCAGCGAGGAATAAGAAATGAGGACGGTAAAAAGATGGACTGTGAAGCAAAAAGGTTTGCGAATTGCCGGAGTTCTGGTAGTTTATGTACAGTACCACGCATGGCAGCCATATCTGGGGAGTACTACGGAGTACCACGAGGAGATATGACAGATCCCCCAGTTATTCGTCTCTCGTGCGGCAGCGTCATGCAGGCGGTACTAGGTAACTAATAATTGGGTTATGCATGCATAGCATCAATTATAGGTACAGCGGAGTTTTCCTAGTAAGTATGCGTGCCATCACAAAAGTGGGTCGAAATATAGATTGGTCCCCGATGATTTTGACTTCAATAGGGCCTGTCCGTCGCAGAGGAAGACTGCAGATGCTAAGTGACTATTGGTACTTATGACCAATTCCTGATGATAGAAAATTTTGCATGTTCTCGAATCCTCTGAGACATCATTCAGGCTGTCCTCTATAGCCTGCTTGCGGGACAAGCATCCTCGACACTAGGAGGTCGCAGTTAGTGACACGAACTTGACCTTGGCCAGAAAGTCTCCGATGAACCGGTCATTTCCCCAGAAGTGTTGTGATGTCCTCTAACAGCATGGGCTGTATGTAGGGTCCGGCTGTACCATACAAATTGCAACATACTACGGATACTACTTAACTATTGACTACTGCAGTTCATTGATCTTGATGCCTTTCCGGTTCGGCGAGCCTGTAGCCTGGACTCACAATCTAAGATAATCGATGGTTAGTTCTAGGTGGAGAACGAGCTATTTTACCATAGCAGTCATACTTACTCGTAGACATGTCGCATTATCAACTTCCCACTAGGTGCTGTTCAGTACAGTACATATAGTCATAGAGCCGGCATCTACTCCGAGATTGCACCCCCCTCCTATCCCCCATCACTTTGTTTTCAATGTGGTCCTCCGTACTGTCCGGTACATCACTTTCCGGGAAAATGCTGCTTTAGTCTGTAGCAAGGTCTAATTAACTCAGGCCCAATGCTGCCGTAGGGGTAGGTTTGGTGGTTACATACGGATGCTTCCACCGATCTGCGCCGCACCACCAACATCCGCCTCCGCCTCAACTTGTCTCCGCTGCGCACCAGGTTGCTGTCCAAATATCAACTCTCTGTTTTCCAATTGCCGCCAATGCTGAATGCCTCCTTCACTCACCGATCGCTTGTCTGATTGTTCCCGGGACCCATGGATCCCCGAGCTGCTGGCTCCTCCGACGTCCGGGGTTTCTGTCAAGTGACCGTGACCAGAGTGCGGGACCTGATCCAAGAACTCTGTCAGCTCCGTATCGCTCAATGCCGTCTCCCGAGTGAGCTTACCACAGAGTGATCCGCTTGCTGGCCCTGCGGATGCAACGGAGCGGCTGCTACCAGCGCACTAAGCATGGCCACGAGGTAAAGGAGTTGCATCGTGTATGTCGGCGGTGGGTAAGGCACGAACGTTGCAATGTAGAACGAGGAGTGGGAACGGGTGAAGAGCGACTGTGAAGCAGGAAGTTGCCAATGGCTGGAGTCCTGGTGCTTGATGTTTCGGGGACTACAGTCATGTCTGAGGATTCCTAGCACGAGCATGGAGAGACGACAGGTCAGTTGTGAGTGGTGACGATGATTCACGCGGCAGTATGATGCAGCGGATAACCGATAATTGGCCCAGTCATGTATGGCAAGTTATTGAAAACGTTCTCACCAGTGAATATACATCACCTGGAACTATAGATGTGCACAAGGCAGCGAGTAGATCGAAGTACTGGTTGGCAAAGTGATTGACTTCAATGATCTTCTCACCGAGTAGAAGTATTGCAGATGTTGATTGAATATTCATGGTCAGTGCCCTGATAATCAGCCAGCGGATGTGGCTTCTCGCATCTGACACCTCGACAGATCCTGCATGTTTTGGGTCATCAGATGCATGAGGTAACCCTCTAGACGGTAACTGCGGTTATGCCGAGACAAGCACCGTCAGAAAGAATTTATCGCATCTGTCGCATAAACGACCTTTCCTGGGAGAGTTCATGCCTGAATCATATCCCTGCAAGGGTGACGATTTATGTCAATATGGCTGTAAGGTCTGATGTTTCGGGTCATTTCAACATCGATATTGGATAAATCTGTATATGAAGGCCGGTGTTCAGGACCGGTAAGGGGACAAGGCGAGCTACTCGCTTGCTTTTCTCCCTCTTTTCACCAATCTAGAAAAGCACCCGGCATCAATCTGACGATGCTGAAGCAGTCTGTGGCCTTGCTGATGACGAGCATCGGTCTCTCCAGGCTGTCGCTCAGTTGGTTCAATTCTCCATCACCAACCTTACCTTCAGAGCCACAAACCGATTCACACATCTCACGAGGGCCAAAAGTGCCGGAGTGCATCGAATCGTGGGAAACATACAAGAGCTACCGGCAACAGCGCCAGACCTCCACCGGCTTGACAACCCGGAAGGTCTTGGTCGCGGACCTCCAGCCTCGTGTCGTCTCGTCCCAGCTTGTGGAAGACGAAGACCCCTACCAAACAACGGTGTTCACCGATCAATTTCGACTGGAAATCGACCAGGAAGACATCCTAGGGCGCGGCGCCAGCGGATTTGTCTACGGTGGCACTTGGATTCCCCTGAGCGATGCATCCGACCGCCAGCTGGATCTTTTGGGTCAGCAGGACGTCGCCGTCAAGGTCTCGCACGACCCGTGGCTGCTATGGGAGGCCCATATGATGAATCTAGTGCAGGGCAACCACGTAATTCGGGCCACCGCTACCTTCACGATCCCTCAGCCCAACGACACCCAGGCACAGGATGGAGCCGTCTATGCGATGGTCATGCCGCGGTTTCGCGGCAGTCTACAATCGTGGGCGAACGGACTGCCGCCCGCCAACCGGGCACGACAAACGCTGCCCGTCATGCTGCAGATGGTCGAAGCGCTGGTCCAGCTCCACCGACAGGGCTTCGCACATCAGGACCTGAAGCTCGGAAACATGGTGTATGACCGCACACCGACCGGGGAGATGCGTGTCCTAATCTCAGACCTGGATCGCGTCACTCGTTCGCGTTATGTTCGCGGCAGCGCGGGGACGCTGGGGTATCTTTCGCAGGGTAGGTCACAATTTTTAAACTCTTGATTTCCTCTTCGTACTGCTGTACGCGATCACAGTTGGATATGCTAACCTGCAGCAGAGATTCTGCTGGGAAAGACCTTTGATCCGATGAGTTCTGATGTGTTCGCTATGGGAATGGCTCTGCTTCACTTGGCTTTCGATAGCATGTCTGGTCAAGACTTTCGTATGCTGGTGTGGAGAACTGTGGTCGACGCTGCCAAGCCATCCAAGGTCAAACAAGCTTTGGTAGACTTGTTCGGTAGTGATGTGAATGAGCTTCCGCTAGACCTGTTTGCAAGAGCGTTATGCGAGCAAGAGGGGCATGACGATGGGGAGTGGAAGCGTCGTATAACGTCAGAGGAGCTTTTGACGGAGCTAAGAGCGATGATAGACGGGGGACTGTGGTGATTCAATTGGTGCATAGATTATACTGAGTACTGTACTTAGTAACCTACAATCTGTGTTTGCTTCGTTTGAGAGGGAAAGGCTAGACCTCGGCATTTCCTAATCGGGCGACTAGCTAGAATGCGTACCTCAGTAGTATAGGTGCAGGTGCGTCATGATATACTCGTAGTCCCAAAGTCTGTACCTCTGTACCTTGGGGTGAGAAAGATAGGTGCCTGCAATGACATCAGGTAGATTGAATTGATCACTGAGGATTGAGTATAATCAGTACGTTCAAAGGTCCCAAAATTGGGGAATTAATGAATTGGGAACTACCCCGACCTCGGCATTCGCGCCGACCGCATTCCCCGCATTTCCGCCTCCACACCGATTCCTCTGTGCAGCTTCATTGTCCGACCTCCTTCTTCCTCAATCTTCTCCTTCCGGTTAAAGATTTCCCTCATACGTCCATGCTTGCTTAACCATCACTCAAAGCTTCTCGCAATTCATTCGACACAATCATCCTCCCAAGATGGTCGCTGCCGTCCGCATCGCCCCCTCGGCCTCCACACGCGCCCTCAACCTCCTGCGCACAGTCCAGTACACGCATCCGCCCTCCTGTCCGTGCCATTCCAACCCCAATCACCATCATCACCATCGCACACCCACTCTCAGCGAACATGTCCGTCGTCACATGGCCACCCCGACAGACCCTTCGCGCCAGAAGGAATACGCCTTTGAGATGGCCGCCTCGAGCATCCGCTTCGGGCCGGGAGCCACCAAAGAGGTCGGCATGGACTTTGCCAACATGAAGGCGAAGCGGGTGTGCATTGTGACGGATGGGAACGTGGCCAAACTGGATGCTATGAAACAAGCTGTCGAGGGGTTGTCGCGGGAGGGCATTGAGTTCACTGTCTTTGACAAAGTGCGCGTGGAGCCGAAGGATAGCTCGTGAGTACTGCCCATCATTGTTTTCGTCCATTCGTGCACATCTAATAGCGACTCAGAGTCAAAGAAGCGATCGCATTTGCCAAACCATACGATCCAGATGCATTCCTCGCCGTTGGTGCGTATTTTACCCGATTGTGCATCCCTTGCTAACCCCCACAGGCGGCGGCTCCGTCATCGACACCGCCAAACTGATGAACCTCTACACCGTCTACCCGGAAGCCGACTTTCTCGACTTCGTCAATGCCCCACTGGGCAAAGGGCTGCCTGTCACCAAGGCCCTCCGACCATTGATCGCCGTGCCGACGACCGCGGGTACGGGCTCTGAAACCACGGGCACCGCCATCTTCGATCTGGTGTCGAAGAAAGCCAAGACGGGGATTGCGCACCGCAACCTCAAGCCCACACTCGGCATTTGCGACCCGCTCAACACGCGGACTATGCCATCGGCTGTCCACGCCTCTTCAGGGCTGGATGTTCTGTGCCACTCGCTCGAGTCATGGACGGCCATCCCGTACAACGAGCGCACCCCTCGTCCCACCAACCCGATCAATCGCCCGGCCTACCAGGGCGCCAACCCGATTTCCGACATTTTCTCGCTGCAGGCTCTCCGCAGCACGGTCAAGTACCTGCCCCGGGCAGTCAAAGACCCGGAGGACTTCGAAGCACAGTCCCAGATGCTGTTGGCCGCGACGCTGGCGGGCGTGGGATTCGGCAACGCGGGCGTGCACCTGTGCCACGGGATGAGCTATCCCATCTCGAGCCAGAACCCGGGCTACAAGCACGCGGGCTACGACGTCGACCACCCGATCATCCCGCACGGGGTGTCGGTGGCGGTGACGGCGCCGGCGGTGTTCCGATTCACGGCGGCGTCGAACCCGGACCGACACCTGGCGGCGGCGGAGGCGTTCGGAGTGGACATCTCGAACGTGAAGCGCGAGAGTGCGGGCGAGGTGCTGGGGGAAGCGCTGGCGGACTTTTTGGTCAAACTGGGCGACCAGCCGCGAGGGTTGAAGGATCTGGGGTTCCAGCGGGGGGATATTGAGTCGTTGGTGGAGGGGACCTTGCCACAGAAGCGCGTGCTGGATCTGGCGCCGAACTTGAACAGTGAGTTGGAGGGGGAGAAGGCTGAATTGCGGGCGTTATTGGAGGAGTCGATGGCGTACTAGTTAGCTGCATACCTAGTTTGAATGCACCTGCCTTCTACTAAAGCATACCCCGGTCATCCCCGCATTCCATCACGCCTGCAGATCATCCGACCAATTCTCAATTCTTTCGTATAAGTAGGTAGTACTGCCCTGTACCTGTACCTGTCCCTGCCTGTTATCTAATTTCCTTTTTCTTTCCTTCACTCCTCTATTCCATCCCCCTCAATCGCCAAAATGCACCCTCCCCTCCTCTCCCTCTCCCTCTCCCTCTCCCTCTCCCTCTCCCTCTCCCTC